GTTTACCTGCCCACCCGTTTCCTGGCGGGACCAGCTGATGCCTCTGGTCCCTGGTACGACCAGCTGATGCCTCTGGTCCCTGGTACGACCAGCTGATGCCTCTGGTACGACCAGCTGATGCCTCTGGTCACTGGTACGACCAGCTGATGCCTCTGGTCCCTGGTACGACCAGCTGATGCCTCTGGTCCCTGGTACGACCAGCTGATGCCTCTGGTCCCTGGTACGACCAGCTGATGCCTCTGGTACGACCAGCTGATGCCTCTGGTCACTGGTACGACCAGCTGATGCCTCTGGTCCCTGGTACGACGAGTCAGGTATCTCTCTCCGAAGCGGGGGAAAGGAGAGAGGGAGGGAGAGGGAAAACGTTTGTGAGGGAGCGTGTAATGGTGCCGATGATGGGCATAAGTAAACGTTTTGGTATTGCAGGAGTCTTGTTGACTTATGCGAGGCAGCTCTTGTACCAAACACTTATCTTACCTGAAGCGGGTTCTTCTCCCTAAGCGGCTTGGAGCCAGGTTTGATGGGAGAACATGGTCTAGCAGACTGTTGTTTGGCGCGGCCCGCAAGTCCGCGTGTCCACTACTAACCTGCTTAAACATCCCAGCAATTCCGTGCCTGTTACGTTACCTGGCCATCCGTTCAATAAATTGACCCAATTTCTAAATTCAAGGATTATAATGAGTCCAAAGTTGTTAACTTTGGATTCAACATGAATCCATTGGTTAGTGTTGAATGTTGATAAGCTTGGTGCGTCATGGTAAGACAGGCGCACCTCGCTGCCGGTACTGCTGCCCATACTGACGCTGCTACTGGTTGTGGTAGTTGTTGCTGGGGTGCTGCTACTGGTGGATATGGAGGGCGTGAAGCCCGGGAGGGTATAAAGTAGTTGTAGTCCCTAACACTGCAGGTTAACACCATGTTAACAGCAGGTTAACACGACCGAGGTGCGTCTTAACATTCACACCCACTGGAGCTTCACCAACGTTGTTGTTCTCTTACCTTCAGAACAATTTACGTATATGAAGAAGGCAGAAGTAGAGTTGTACGGGTATGGCCTGCACACCCCCGCTGTAGATGGTGCGGTGTTGAGGCGGTGGCGACCCACAGGGACTCTGGAACACAAATACCCAACGAGCTGGAGCCGCTGCCAACTCCCTCGCCTCAACACACCCTCGAACAATGCCAACCTTACCAAGGACGAGAACTTGTGCCAACATGTTGTTGCAGCTTATAAACTCTTGACTTAGACTATGACTCGACTACTGATGTTGCTTTGCCGTGGGTAGTATAATAGGAGGCAGTTGTAGCCACCGTGGATACCTGATCAACCAGGCTGTGACTCATACGTCAGGGTGCGAGCAGCCGCGTCCAACAGCCTGGTTGATCAGTCCAGCAACCAGGAGGCCTGGTCGACGACCGGGCCGCGGGGACGCTAAGCCCCGGAAGCACCTCGAGGTAAGGTAGCCGCCCATGCCAAATAATGGGTAAATACCTGGGTATATGAAGCAGAAATTGTTGCCAAAGTGGTGGTTCTGCTAACACAATGGGGAAGTTGTCTGTCTTAAGGGAGTAATGAGCGCGGGTGTGTTAGGCAAGACTGACGCCATATTTTAAACACTGGCTGGCTCTTGTGTTTATCTTCACTGAAGGCCAGTCATGGTTACATTTACTCCCTACTGGATCGAGCGCCTAGGTTACCACTGGGCACTGGGTCGGGTGCCTAGGTTACCCTTGAATTTACCTTAGGGCCACTAACACGCTAGTGGCATCGACGAGGACAAGAAGCCGGCGGCTTATCAATGGCCCCCTCTCCCCATTTGTTCTGATGTTTTTTAAGTTCAACAGTTTTGGCATTACGGCTTTGGCGGGTAGGCGGTTCCATGGGTTTATAACCCTGTGGGTGAAAAAACATCTCCAATTTTCAGTCATATTTTAGAGTTGTTCAGCTTGAAGCTGTTGTTCCTTGTTTGTATGAAATTTGACCTTTTGAAGAGGTTGTCTGGATGAACATGCAACGAAATTGTTCAGTATTTTGAACGTTTCAATAAGAACGTGAAATCGTGAAATCGAACGTGAAATCTTGTCTGATCTGCAGTGTTATCCCCGTGGCCCTCAATCTGTCCTGGTATGAGAGTTGACTTAATTCTGGTCACTGGGCAGGACGCCCAGGTTAACACTGGGTAATTGAAGCTCTCGGAATGTTTGGCGATTGCTTAATTATTTAAAAAGAGGGGATGAAAGATTTGGTTCGGAGATTGTGGCCTAGTGTGAAGGGAGGCTGGAAGAGTGATGAGCGGCCCCATATAGGTGTTGATGGTGAATACTGATGTGAGGGGGATAGATCTCCTTTCACTACTACTTTCCTTGTATATGTGGGTGGGTGGGGACCGGAGCTTAGTGCTCGGGAGACGGCCGGCACGCACACCAACACCATCACTACTCAACCACTGTCAAGTTATATTGTCCACGTTTACTATATAGACATTAGCTGGTAGGCTTTAGTTTGTTGAATAATAAGAGGGGTGTGATGACGGTGAGGTATGGCCCGCCAGCAGGAGTAATGGCCGCTGCCTACTCCAGGCTCCCCCATAATGAATTATTACTCTAGTCTCGCCACTTCTCCTTTCTTCCTTGACTCAACTCGTTTTGACTCTCAATACGTCGTATTTTGACGATATATAATCACCAACGTATAAAATAAGGTGTACCATTTTCAAGAGGAAACTAGATTTATTCCTCCAAAGAGTGCCGGACCAACCGGGCTGTGGTGGGTATGTGGGCCTGCGGGCCGCTCCAAGCAACAGCCTGGTGGACCAAACTCTCACAAGTCAAGCCTGGCCTCGGGCCGGGCTTGGGGAGTAGAACAACTCCCAGAACCCCATCAACCAGGTATAAACAGTGGCTTGCAATCCACCGCGTTTTCTTTGCATGGGTCCGGCAAGTTAGGTTCACACGTTTTAGTAGCTGTTATTTTATCCGTTATCGAGGTAAGAGATCGGGCATTATCTAAATCATCCTAGATTTAGATTTATCAAAATCACATTTCAAAACAAAATCTTATGTGACAGCATCTGTCAAAACGGGTTAAGGCGATAGTTGTTTCCATGGGAGGGGTATGGGGCGCATAATAAATGACTAAACTAACTCATGGGACCTGTATCAGTTCCTGGGAAAGAGGCGACGGGATGGTAACAGCAGCAAGGAACGTGACATTTGGTCAATCTATTCTCAACTCTATAAAGTGTTGTAGTTAATACTGGGTTTTGTTATCAAGGGGATCGATGTGTTGTGTGTAGGTGATAGTTGTGCTGTGAAGTTAGTGAAGGAGGGAGAGGTTGGGGGCTGGTGTAGACTGATAAGTGTGTCGGCTGCTAACTAGGGCGGGGTGGAGCTATGGTCAGTGTTGGAGTCTGGGAGTTTAAAGCGGGGTAAGCAAGACCTGGGGCCAGATTCACGAAAGCACTTACGAACCTGTACATCTTTTCTCAATCTTTGGCGGCTTTGTTTACAATTATTAAACAGTTAATGAGCTCCGAAGCACCAGGAGGCTGTTTATAACAATAACAACAGTTGATTGGGAAGTTTTCATGCTTGTAAACTGTTTTAATAAATGTAACCAAAGTCGTCAAAGAGTGAGAAAAGATGTACACGTTCGTAACTGCTTGCGTAAGTGTTTTCGTGAATCTGGCCCCAGGTTGGTAGTTGTGGGGGTGGGTAGGTATCGTCTTGCAATACATACTCAAGCCCGCCCACCCCACCCACCCTACCTACATACATGCATAACCTACCTACTGTACACGTACGCCAATCCACACTCGCGTATCAGTTTCCTTTACCTTCAAATTTTATAAGTGATCAAATATTACTGGTAGACGTGCACTAAGTCACAATAACATGGCTGAAAATTATTGCTTGCAACGCTGCTGGTGTTTGCTATTTTGTTTCTTGTGGCCTCTCCAATACTTTGATGACACTGTCCGTATGCTTAATGATCGACTAAGAAAACAATGTTAAGTCTGCAGACACAATGCTCTCGTGCCATATTAAGGACTAATTATCCCATAATTAATCTTCTAAAATCTTTCTGCAAGTCTTGTCGAATTGTCATTCATAAACATGGTAAACATGGACCTTAGTCGTGGCTGTGCTGCTGTTAACTCTTGCCGTACTCGGTACATAGTTAAATGCCCTAACCTTCTTACTTTTAACAAACAAAAGCCGACATAGCTTTAGCCCTTCTATGGTTTTCTTTCTTTGTTCCTTTGCCATTTATTTTGTCTATTTTACCTCTTCGCCATTAGGCCTTCTGCAGTTTTTTTTCATACTTTTAACTGCTATGGTTTACTTATTACTTTCTCGTCTTTCGCCTCTTTCTTACTTCCAATATTGAATTTCTCTGCCACTTTTTTTTTTTTTTTTGTCATAAAAAGTTCGAACCGGACGACCGAAACGCTGTCACTTGCGATGTTCAGCTATGTGGGTTGGGTGTTTAAATATTACAGTGGTGACTGGCTCTTACAAATTACGTCTGAATTTGGCCGTTCCTCGTATAGCCGAAAATGGACGTAATTTGAAAATTAAAAATATATTTTTTTTCCAAAACAGCAAGTTAAGGGCACTTTGGCATGTTAGGAGGGCAAGACGTTCTCCTAGGGTTTCAAAACGTCATAAAAACAGTTAATTGAAAGTTTACTCTTAACCTAACTGGGTAAGCCGGAGGACTCTAAACAGAAAACGGGGACAGTACATCACTTTCGTGAGCAGATTTAATTTCAAATTACGTCCATTTTTGGCCATGTCGCTTTTAGCTGGTATTCGCGCTATTATTTCAAAAGGACGGGTTTTTTTTAGTTGCCCTGCCCACTATTTGCCCGGGCACTTAGCTCGCTCGCGCCGCAACATTGTATATTGTGTTACAAAACATAAAATTGTTACATATTGTGTTACAACATTGTATATTGTGCATTGTTACAAAATGTTAATGATACTTGATGTTGCAGGGGGGCGCCAACGTGGAAGCCGGCCGTGACGCCCCTGGCCCAAGTGAAGACGACTCCAGAGGGCGTGCCCGTCGCCACCTCCACCTCCCTCGCTGCCAACAAGCAGGTAACTCTCCCCTCCATGCTGACACGCCGGTGTGTATCCTCCCCTCCCCCCCCCCCCCCTCGTTGCCGGCACGTGGCTGTATTTGCTGGTTAGCATTGTAAATGTCTGGCCACGTCTGTGGTAGAAAATAATAATAATAAAAAACCTGCCCCTCCCACTGCCGACAAATCGGTGTACTCGCCTAGCTGTGCTTGCGGGGGGGGGGGGGTGAGCTCTAGCTCTTTGGTCCCGCCTCTCAACTGTTAATCAACTGGTGTACAGATTCCTGAGCCTATTGGGCTCTCATATCTACATTTGAAACGGTATATGGAGCCTCCTTCCACCACATCACTGCCTAATGCATTCCATCTGTTAACTACTGACACTAAAAAGTTCTTTCTAGCGTCCCTGTGGCTCATTTGGGTACTATATTTCCATCTGTCGCCTTGTTAGCGTACCACTCGTCCGTGGTACGCGAACACTATACCCTCCTCCCTCTCTCTAATGGGTCTATATAAGTGGGTATGTTCCATGGGGCCCCCTCCCACTCCCTTCCCTCCCCTCCCACTACCGAGAAGTGGGTGTTGCCCTGCCACCTTCCCAAGGTAATTTTCCCTTCATACAAGGTAACACTTCTCCATCGCCTGCCCACATGGTACAGCCCTCCACACTATTCTACCCTCCAATTTAATATTTGACTAATTTGTTTGCATAAAACCTTTTTCAGTTTCATTAATGTTAGTTTGCCAAACATCTGGTAATACTGATTTGTTAGAAAACAAAAACAAAATCCTAAAGTAGAATAATATTGAGGCACTACAATAGACCGAGTAGCATATCTATTGCCTTGTACACCAAAGTATATAGTGATGGTCAAATGAAGATATAGAATTGAAAGAAAATGCTTAAACTTAAGATGAAGCGCACAGGATGTGTATTGGGCACACTGCGAGTTACACAGGTGATATATATATACTAACATAAGCATCCACCTTTCCACACCCGCCATATTTTGAAAGGTTTACTGATACGCTTCAGAAGTGAATATAAAACTGAAAGACCAGCGACATTGCTAATTTAGTTGGTGCAGATGTACGAGCCCAACTGTGTTAGTGCGTTAAGGACGAATGGTGCCCTTGTTGGAGGTGAATATCTTTAAGGAGAGCTAGGCTACTGGTGACGGTCACGGTTTGAACACCAAGAACATAGACTGCAGCGAGGGATGTTATCACTACTCCAGCCCTGGACACCTGTATCCCAGTGGCCCTTCTGCAGTCTTGTGCAACTGAAGGACCCAACGAGCAGAGGCTCGATAAATCAACGGATGTCACTACATAAGGTCTATGACGCTGCGCCGCCACCAATAGGTCTATGACGCTGCGCCGCCACCAATAGGTCGGTCTGATGCTGCTGCTGCCGTTGATACTTCTGCAGGAGACCCAGTCTGGTGGAATGCCTGGGCCAGTTTACGGTTGGCACCTTCCTACATCCCACACCTGCATGTTTGCTACCATCATGTTAGTCTTGACTCGTGTTTGCTTCTAAAAATGTACATTTTTATTATTATACTAATATTGCATGATAAACAATTTTAGCTCCTACGTTATAGTACTTATAGTTTCTCGTTAATAAATCCAAAAAATAATTTGTTGTAAAAGTAAAGGTGTGAAACGTGTGTTCCAGTGTGTGTGTGTGTGTGTGTGTGTGTGTGTGTGTGTGTGTGTGTGTGTGTGTGTGTGTGTTACATTACACATAATTAGTGATTTGTGGAGCCTGTGTTAAATTATTTGCCCCTCCTCCCACTAGTATAGATGGTACTAAGCTAATAAGCTTAACTCTGGCAAAATTCCCAGGTCAATTTTTAAACCCTTAATATACCTTAATAGTAGTATTTTTTTTTTTAAATGCCTTTAACAGTAGTGTTTTATTAGCTGTCTTGTGTAAGTGTTCATTTTAATTGAACTAGATGTCTATAAAACGCAGTTGTTAGGTCTAACACAAGTTGCTGAGAGATAGCAATGTTGAGGCATGGTTTGTGTGTGTCGCCCCTGGTTTGTCTAACCACGTGTCTCCCCTTCCCTCTCTTCACAGCCCGTCCGCTACATCGGCTCCAACCATAACAGTGTGGCGCGACCCTTTCCCGGCTTCACGGGCTCCCAACCTGCCTACACCCACACAACCACCTCTCTAAAGAACACCCTCCACGAGGCGTCGGAAGGGTCCCCTGGTACTCCTATCAGTGGCACCTCCTCCAGAAGCACGTCAGGTAGCACCAGCCCTAGCAGCTGTCTTCCAGTCGCCGGCACCACTATATCTTTAAACAAAGAGAATGCCAAAAATTTTCTGAAAATGACCCTCGATAAAGAAAATGTTAACACCATAAATGTTCACACGTCGGCGTACAAAAACCAGAAATCAAACAGTAATGAAAATATTTTCACAAGTCAGTTTCTGAATAACAATGGAGCTGTTGGTGGAAGCGGTGGGCACCAGAGGAAGTATTCTCTAGCCAGTAATACCTCCAGCTGCAGTAGTGACGCCGACCACGACTCCCTCACCAGACGCAATAATGAAGTAAGGTGCCGCAGTCAATGCGAGGCTGCCACTATTGGCCAGAAATTGTTCTCCATCATTGCTGGGTTTCGTATCTTTTACAGAATATAGATTAAGTGTTCTAATATTACATTTTTTGTATGTCCCTTTGAATTGACTGTACAAATTGTGTTTATTAGATGAAAATGTACTTTTTCAATAGTAATGAGTTCTATTAATGTACAGATAATTTATTATGCACACAATACCGTTGTTGTTGTTGTTAAAGATTCGCTACCTGGAACAGAGTTCCAAGTAGCACGGGCTATGGTGAGCCCGTAGTGCCTTTTTTTTTTTTTGACACACAATACCCTTCCCAAATGGTGGTGGACAGGTTAGAGGTACATGACGGGCTCGAAAACCAAGCCCCTTGAGCTAAAGAAGTTAAAACATTGATGAACTAGGCAGACATACGTAAACAGTTTATTTATAGTTTATTGAGTTTGTTTATTATAGCTCCTACCAAAGCCCAACCCAACCACCGTTCAGCCCAACCACTTGGGCTGGACGGAAGAGCAACGGTCTCGCATTTTGCAGGTCGCCGTTCAATCCTCGACTGTTCAAGCGGTTGGGCATCATTCCTTCCCCTTGTCCTGTCCCTAATAATTATCCTGATCCCTTCCAAGTACTATATAGTCGTAATGGCTTGGCGCTTTCCCATGATGATTCACTTCCCTTCCTACCAACCCCGTGGGCTGTAAAAGGCACTAGTTACACACACTAAGTGTGTACCTGAGGGGCACTAGCCCTAATGGCCTGGATGATAGAACGGCGGCGGCTTGTCGAAGGCCCATTTGGAGGCCCCCTCCCCCCATTTGGAGGCCCCCTCCCCCCATTTGGAGGCCCCCTCCCCCCATTTGGAGGCCCCTCCCCCCATTTGGAGGCCCCCTCCCCCCATTTGGAGGCCCCCTCCCCCCATTTGGAGGCCCCCTCCCCCCATTTGGAGGCCCCTCCCCCCATTTGGAGGCCCCCTCCCCCCATTTGGAGGCCCCCTCCCCCCATTTGGAGGCCCCCTCCCCCCATTTGGAGGCCCCCTCCCCCCATTTGGAGGCCCCCCCATTTGCCTTGATCTTTTCCAGGTTGATTTTAAAACTTAGATACTTGACCTAAATACTTTTATTATAAATAATTGCAATAATAATGAGATTTAATTTCATGTTAACTAGCGGATAGTGACACGTTTTTCGCTGGCTAAGAAACCAGTAATGACAAGACTGCCAATCTTTAGTTGATAGACAAGAAATGTGTTAAAAGGGCACTAGTCTTTCCTGTAAGAAATCACCCATGGTTTTTAATTGATTTTGTAAACACATTGTGTACTTAATGTAAACACCTTGTTTGACCTATGGTTGGTTTTGGCCGCCTTTTATCTTATGTAAGTGTGGTTCAGCTGATGTAATGACGTGACTTTTGCAGTATGTTGCTCCAGTAGGATCGAGTCACAACACTGTTGCTGTTCCATTCGCAGAGGTGAAGGATCCTCTTTGATTGTCTTTTGTGTTGGCCTTTGAACTCAGCATGGCGCCTTGTCTAGTGCGTGATTTTAACCTCGTTAATACTTCGACTATGCTTCCCAAGCGAACATTTGTAGTTTTAACATACTTACCCTTGACAAAGTTTCTTAGATGAGTGTGTGTAATATCATTTTTTTTATTACCTGTAGTGCAATGATGCAAGTGGAAAGTATATTATAAATGATTGGACTGCATGATTGGAACTATAGTAGAAAAAGTTTAAGCATATGCAGTGTATTGAGTAGTGTAATGCAGGACTGATGGCATCTCCAGCAGCATTGAGTAGCATCTTGAGGGCCTATTGGTTCACTGGTGAGTGAAAACCTGTGCACATTTGTGACAGTTGATGTAACCACCAGTGTATTCTGCCTCGGAAGTGTATGCATTTAGTTAAGAGCATAACACAAGCTGGTAACGCTGCAGCTACTTGTAGTGCATATAAGTTGGCAATTATAACTTTGCATGGTTGAAGTACACAAGTGTGGTAATATAGTGCATTTTATTAATTTTAAATATTTTATTTGATTAAAATTTGTGAAATGTTTAAATATTTTTGTTATAACAAGTTCAAATACAGGTACTAGGAACATTTCATTGATATTTTAATGATAAAACAAGCAGTGTAATTTTATCTGAATAGGTTTGCTTTTCTCACTGATCACTGGGTCTCCCCATCTTAATGACTCGCCCTCAGTCACATTTGCTGCTGTGTTTCACGACTTTCGGGAACACTTGTAATTTCCAGAGGGTTTATGGACAATTATACCAACAATTTGTTTCAAAGGTGACTTAGCCATTAGCTCACCAAATTGGTAGCCTGTGATATCTAAGTTAATGTTAATATAATCCTTTAAGTTGTAGTTAGTGGCAATGTTATGAAGTTTTATTTGCCTTACCTTGAGGTGCTTCTGGGGCTTAGCGTCCCCGCGGCCCGGTTGTCGACCAGGCCTCCAGGCCTTGTACAGTTATTATACTTTCCCTCAATGGTAATGCATACACCTTAGTTGTCTGAATTGGACCAAGGGCATTTGCTGGCTTGATATTAGCTTACATCATCTTTCAGTTAATATTTTCTGAATACCAATCTTGTGCACTTCATTTGGTCTCATTTCCTGTTCACTTGTCCCATTTTCCAAGCACCTTTCGTAAAAGTCCCTTCACTAGAAATGTGATACTATCCCATCTGCACACCTGCCTGACACTGTCCCATCACATACACATACCCAAGGTGACCCCTCACTATTAGCTGGTACTAATTTTACTACCTCCGGCAGGTAAATGGACAGCAGATAGTGAACACTCAATACAACACGCCCTTGAAGTTGTACAGCGACGACAACATCGCCGAGACGCTCTATGCCCAGGCTGAAGTGCTCGGCAAGGGATGTCTCGGGTAGGTTCCTGTAGAGAATATTTGGGCGGTGGAAAGCCTATTGGGGTAACTTGTCTGAAGACGATATCATAACTTTACAATACTGCACTGATAATTTGTATTTTGTCATCCTGGTTCTGTATAAGGATAAAAATAAAATACAGTAATGTACTATATATGGAGTTCCATGTAAATAAGCACCTGAAACCCTTGAAAAGCATAATTCTATTATTTAGGTTACCACAATACACAATTCTTCAAATATTTAAAATAAAAGTTGTAAGTTTTTCTTTGTAAATCAGTAAATTTAAAAATGAACTAATTCCATATATAGTATTTTCTTCAGTATATTATTAGGGCCTTCAATTTAAAATTTTACCAAAGATATTAATTCCTGATATTTTGATAAAGTTGCACTTTTTATTCTTGAAAGATTTAGGGGAACAAAATTCATATGGGTTAGTGAATACAAATACCAGAAAATGGTGTAAAACTTAATATTTTTAATAATATTTTTGGGTACAATGGTGCCATGTGCTATAAAATTATTCCATTCATAATGATTTTTATGAATGTGTATCATTTTTATGCAATTACCAGAATTTCAAATCTTGGTAATTACTGCACAATGATTTATAATTTTACAGTTTTACTGTAAAACTGTTTACCTAAAAATTTTACAGTTCATGATACAGTAGTAAAATTGTCATTTTGCCTCGATTGCTGTTTTAGATTTGGCTACTTGGAACAAAACGTGCAAGTAGCACGGGCTATGGTGAGCCCGTAGTGGACTTGCCTGGCACAGGAGCGGCACTGTAGCTTATCTTTGCCTAGGTTCACCCCAGCTGAGCAAAATCAGGTCATATGACATAAGCTATTGTCTAAGGGTTAAACTATACCCTGAAAATAATATAATGGCTTTGTATTTGGATTAATGTTTTTTTCCCCTGCCAGCATTTTGGGATAATCTGAATCTTACATTTTCATTCTGAAAATTTGTAAATATTCTCAGAATACTAACATTATAAAATTTAAGTAAAAAAAAAAAAAAAAAAAAAAAAAAAAAAAAAAAAAACTGATCAAATTGACAATTTTCTGGGAATGAATGTGAAACTGCATCTCGTTGTTCAAGCAGAATTGTTCCCATAATCACAATTCGCCCATGCAGTCCTCCCCCAGCATGTAGTACAATACAGTGGTCCACAGTTTGACTCACAAAAAAAAAAAAAAATTAAATAATCAGGGAGTCCAGATTTGATTCCCAGGCAAAACAAATAGTAGGAACTTTTTCCTCTTCACGTAAAGCCTCTTTACCTAGCAGTAAATAGATACCCAGGAGTTGGGCAACTGTTGTGGTTTGTATCCTGGAGGTACAACATAAAGACCACCTTGATACAAGCAGAATACAGGCTTCCTGTTCCAACAACAGGAATTATAAATGGGCACACAACTTCTCTCTCTCCTATAGTGCTTTGCCAGTTGTTCCTACTTCTGCACAAGCTTCATGCCAAGTGCATAGGATATAGCTTATTTAAGAGCTATGTCTCTGTGCATCCTCATAGAATGAAGGATACTCGCTATTGTTTTGGTTGTAGCCTTCCTGGCTTGACTTCTTTTGACAATGACTTACTCAGTGTTGTTTCATTCCTGTAGCTTTCACACCAAACCCTGAAAAAATTGTGTGGCTATCGCAGGCAGCATTATAAAGGTGACACACATGTTCAAATATTTTTGACAGTTGTCCTGGTGTGTAGAAGAGAATATTTAAATGTATAGTACATATAGATACTGTATTTCAGTGACAAATATTACTGCATGAATAACATGTGATAATTTGCAAGAATTCTCCAACTATAATTCTGAAGATAATTAAATGATACAGTATACAAAATAATTAGAAAGGTAAATCATGGCAAAACAATTTGGTAGTTAAATCAGGAATTTAAATATAATTTATTAATTTAGTAGAGTAACTCGGTACTGATCATGTGTGTGTATGTGTTTGTCTGTGTATGTATTGTCGCACTGGCTGGACACTGTGCAGCATCAACTTCAAGAAGTATGCGAGGGAGACTGTTATCCAAACAGAATCTCCCACATACAAACTTATCCATGGAGATGGGGAAGAGGCACAGAAGAAGGCTCGCCCCCCACCCATCTCTCCTTTCGACAAGGAGGCCCCGCCCCCTGCCCCGCTCTTCTCCCGACAGAAGCCTGCATCAAAGCCAGCACCGGCAGCACCAGCACCACCTCAGCAAGGAGGACAGTCAGGTGACCCGCCACCCCATTACTCCTAAGCACTTTGCCCAATTGCCAGTCATTAGTTTTTTCCCCCTCCCTGACGGTGGCTGAATTTCATCTTTTGTGCCGCATCATGGTGCTGGTGTGCCTAGTGGAGTGCCCTGCATGTTTCTACACACCCCTCAAGCCTTTAAACACACAAGCAGTGCCAACAACAGCAAGAAGGGTTTGCGATGCTTGGTTAAGGAATTACCTGCCGTTATGGGTGTGATGTGTGAGACTGTGGGGGAGGGATTTTGTGTGTGGGGGGGGGTTGTCTGCCACATTCTTCACTGCATGAATCTCCTGATTTCTTCCTTCTCCCTCTCTCCCTTCTGCCTGCTCCACAACCAACTCACTCCAATCTCTACTACTGATGCTGCCCTATAGAGTCAACTTTAAGAAGAATGAACGAGCTTACGACGGGAAGACTTCAGATGTTCTGCGGATGGTGCAGGAAATGGACAAAAGCCCTGCTCAGGAAAACGAAGGTGAGGTATCGAGCCTCTTATCCCCTGACAGGAATGTTGTCCAGGGGCATTCCTTCAAACTACTCCAGCAGGCACTACTGACCGAGGACGACTTAGGTAAGTCATGCCAGGACACGGACACAACTACACAGTACACTAGGGATGTGTAACCATCTGAATAAAAGTTGATTAATTTTTAATGAAGCATACCAAAAAAAAATTAAGCCTGGTGATAAAATCAGCGGCCAAAAATAATAATGGAAAATATAACCAGATCAGGGAATGCAAGAGCAGTAATTTGGGAATTTATACAATAATTAACCTGCAGTATTAGCAGTTAAACCTATGCCTGAAAAAAAATATGAAAAGGAATTCAGTTTTCTTAAGTTTTAAATTTTTCTGTGTCCTACATGGAAAAGGATAGTATTCACCGATTAAAGAATGCCTAGAGCCATGTTGTATTTTTTCACGATTGTTAATACTTTCTCATTGATTTGCATGTGTAACCAGCTTCAATATTATCATTTCTGATCCTCTACATGGCATAATTCTTTTCTTTTCACTTGCATTTTTTGCAAATTAGCAGCAAAACTAATATCCTAGGTTATACTTTTTTCTATCTTGGTTACTGCTTTACATTTGTAACTTGATGATATAATTTAAACTGTCCACACAATTTACATTATGATTTCATTATGGGTTGCTTGGTTTCGTGTCCTGTGCAAGAAGTGGGAAAAATAGTTCAACATTCCAGTGTCATGTAAAATACACCTTTAACCATGGCTTATCCTATTTCTTTATTAATTTAAATTTTATACTGTCTGCAGTTTTATTAAAATGACTACACATGCTGTCTGGCAGTGGAATGGTTTTTCCCACAAATTTCAATAAGGAAAATTAGTGTTGTGAAATACAAAGAGGGGAGTGTGATGGGTTGTCCAGGCTCTCGAGCACTTTTACACGTGCACTCGGTGCACGTGTATTCCACACCCAAACAAGATACAACCCATGTGTGGCTAACTTACAGCTAGATAACTTTCACTTCAATTATTTATCTAGTACCCTAGTGAACAGAACTGATGACAACTTAGTTTGCCATTTTTGTTTAGTAACATTTTACATTTTCATTGTGCAGAAAAATACAAAAGGCCGGGCTGATGCATCTTGTCACTTAATATAAATTACTATACATCAGTAAAAATATATTTTTTACATAATGGTACTAGTTTACAGAATGGTACATAGTGTAAGTTTAAATTAAAATACAAAATTCTAGTGAATGTTGTCAATTACTAGTGGTTTTAAGTACTAAATAAACTTAATGTGAAAGTTACCACTGGTTAGAAAAGCTGGTCAAATAATTTGTCCAGGTATTGTTAAAGAAATTTGTTTAATACAGTATGGGCTTGAAGAAAACCCACATGCTCCCACTCCCAAACAATGTTTTGCTTCTCTCAAAACCACTGTCCTTGAATCACACTTTCAATGCCAAATTATGACATGATTTTCACACTACATTGGTAAAGCTATTTACTGTTTGATGAGAACCATAAACATATTAGCCGTGAGTAAAAATGTTTAGGCTAACCCTTCACGCCTCGCCATGAAAGTTTTAAGTGATGGTATTGCTGGAAAGGAAGACAAAAGGACATTTACTGTAGCATTGTCAATCACTCTTGAAACAGTAACGTAACTGTTGTTGGGTTTAGCCTAATAAAATTCTTTGGGTATAGCACATAGTCAGAATTATTAAATTAAATATAGTAAACTATTTTTGGGCCCTTGTAATGGTAAATTTTCAGTAATTTGATTTTCATTCCATAGTTGAATTATACAGAATGATTACTATATATGGATTTGTAAATGTAATTTCTTTTAGCTGTAGTCCAGTGATTGGTGTAGTGTTTTGCCCACCCAGAAGGTTTTCATAAACAGTATTACACTTCAGACAACTATAAATAGCTTTACTAAACCAAAAGTTATTAGATTAAGATAGAGGAAGTGGTTTAAGCATCTTTCTGGCATGGTCTCCTCTGTCTGCAGCGCACGCATAAGGTAAGCACAAGTCACTTATTGTTTCAGTTCTTTTTCGCTACCAACGTTCCAATCCAGTTTTCCACAAGTGGAGCTCCTTGAATGTCACAATAATAATAATTATTCACCAGATGTTACCATTAAATGGCAGGAATGTTTTGAATTTTCAGATTGAAATATATATTTAAACTTCATAGCTCAAAAGAAGAATCTTCAAAATAGTATCTTTTATGTTTTAATGTATAGTTTGGACTTCTGCAACAAGCTGTCATAGAAAACATTGTAGTAAATTAGTACTGTATTAAAGTGAACAGTACATTAATAGCATAGTTCCCTAAAAATGCATTTAATTTACACCCATAATATTAACACCATTCACTTCTTGCTTGTTCTTGCGATATCTGGATCCTATACGTATTTATATCTTGCATAAGAACCATTTCATTTTGATTCTTAAAACAAAATTTTAGGGTTTGGTTTAATATAAAGTTGTTGATCTTTCATTATTGATGGAAAAACATGTACTGGATAATGATTTAACACAAGTGTTCAGGAGAACACCAATATTTAAGCCATTTTCATTATCTTGGCATTTTGTGCTTAAAATTTTTAAGTTGAAAGTATTCAATAAATTTTGTAATTTATACATTATAGTGTCAAGGAAGGATATGAGGGGGGGGGGGGTTACCTTGCAATGATTTTGGGGCTGAACGGTCCCACAGCCCAGTCCTCGACTGTGCCTCACATTTGAACCTATAGTCTGAAACTTTTAAGGATGCTGCTTGATGGTCACATCTACTAGGTGTGTTTCTAGATAGAATGAGGCACTAGATATAAATTTTGAAGATTTGATAAATAAAAATCGGAAGCAGAATAATAGTTGGAAGGGGTATTTGGCTGTAGAGCTGTCATTTCTTGATCACTGGTTAACCCCACCATGCAGCTTCTCAAGTTCTCTGTCTAAATAATAGTAATTTAATTTGGAATTCTCATTTTTCTTTTCTTCTGTCTCTCCGCATTTACTTAGTTTTTCCAATTTTCTGTTATGGCCATCAAGCAAGGTCCTAGGAGTGAAGGACTATCCGACCACATTATACAGTATTGATTGTGAAGAAATATTGAACTTTATAATAAGCAATGCTTTTTTTAGAGCTTATAAAATCTAATTGGATAGTTTCCCTGGTAAATTTGCTTTGATGCAATTTTTACTTTATGCTGAATATAAAGAATAAATAAATGCTTGAATCCTGAAAGTCTAAGACTTGATAACAAATGGTTATAATTGAAATTTAGCAGTGATTATTTTTTTTTCTAAAATCATTCACAACTTTCAAAATATACTAATAGCTACTAGGTAATAAGCAAATTCCTTTATACAAACCTAGTCTTCATAAGTATTTTAAGTACAGTATATTTATCCCACAAATTTTAAGTTGTGCATGGTGTCTCCAAGCCCAGTTTAATTCTGTAAATAGAAATGAAAGTATCAAATGAAATATTGGATATCTTTAATATAGGGCATGATGTCTCCTCTATAGTAATGCAGCTCGTATGTGTCATTTCAACTGTAGAAATGTACAGTAAGACTGGAGGTAATACAAACTTCATGAAGCATTCCAATTTTATCGTCACGTTTTGTGAAGTCAGTCATGTTTATTCCGACATTTGGTTTACTGTGCAATACTTTATTTTGCTTAAAAGATTACAAAAGTACTGTATTTGGAGAAATAGAATCATTATGGTGGGAAACCAATGCATGTAAGTAAATCCTGTTATTACATTATGTTAATGTTTATTCTTTTACCTCGTAGCTGTGAACATAATGGGTAGTTGTTTAGGTGAAACTTGCATGTTTTGCTTTTGCTTATGTTGGGATGAAGTAGATGTCTGTGTGGGATTTTATTATGCATGATTTGGTTTGATATATCCTCATATCTACATTGAGCATGTCAAAAGTCTTTGATTGCATCATATTTTTCTTTGCAAGCCTTACAAATTATATTTAGATTTAAATCTTTTGTTTTTACATGCCTCTAGGAATCCTTCAAATAATTGACATAATTGGCTATAAACTGTAGTATTGTACAGTATAGCAATGTGTATAGAAGCTAGGAAGTAAATGAGTAGAACTGTACATGAACTCCAGAAGCACATGCTGGATGTAGTTGGTATAATCAAAGGATACGAAAGTTAGCACATTCTCGATGTTATTATGTATGAATCAATTTAGAGTTTGAGGGATAGTTAAATTGTCATATTGCTTCCATTAGGAAATGTAGCTAAATGGAATACCCACTCTTAATACTATATACTAGTGTATAAAAATACTAAACATTGTTCTTGCTGTTTATTGATAATGAACTAGTGTACCTGATTTTATAGAATTTGATACTGAATATATTTGTTTAGATACATAATTAAATACAAACACTTTATCTTCTTGAATTGTTACAATAACATTTCATTCAGCTAACTCTGTTTATATTGTATACATTTTCTGCTTGATATCCCAAACCATCTTGCAGTGCTGTACAATCTCTTCCTGCTAAATCCCATATCCATTTGACAAGATACCATAGTGTGTTTGTGACTGAGTATATGACTGTAAAGTGCCACTGTGATGGAGTGTGACTGTTCCCAACAGTGACCCCTTCGTCCCCTTCTGTGGTTCAACCATTCTCTTCGAACATCGCAGCTTCTCAGACGAAGCCCAAGATGGAACTCCTACCCGGCGAAAACATTTGTAAAGAGTGTGGTAGATTAATTGTGTAAGTACATCAGCAGATTGAAGCCAGCCTCATTCCTACTCCTTCCCCCACCTCCCACAGCTTCACCACTAACCCCCTCACTTAGTCAGCCTGCAAATGACAGCTAGTAACCAATTATGTCGTGTTAACGGGTGAGTTGTGGGCGATGGTGGAAGTGGGACGAGGTAGCCTGGTTGTTTGGTGGCGGTAGTAATGGGTTCCTTTATCCCGGGCACAGACAGCCCCTTGAGTGGTGGCGGGCCGAGCCCCACTGGCATTCGAAGCGTGCGTGCCCCACAGACCAAGGTGAAGCCTGAGGGTGTGCCTGATGCCTCATTAAGCACCAAGTGCTCCGAATGCGAGAGGCCCATTATGTGAGTACTGGCTCGGGTATCCCCATGGATGATGGAGTCCAACACGTTTTAAGTGCATCCTGGCTGTGGCTTGCAATCCTGTTAATCTTGCCAAGGTGAAGCTTGTGTATACAGACCTCAGGGGTGCCATTACCTGGGTCATTTACACACGCATTTCATCTGCAATTTTGTCCAAGTTGGCAATTCATGTATATCCAGCCGAGGCTTTTTAGGATTACCACTTGCTCGCACTGAAATTGCAAATTTTCCGCTAAACATTGGTTCTACATGCGCTAATTAAGGAAATGCGAAGCTGTGCCCCATGTCAGGTCTCCTGACACTATCATTCTGTATGAAGGCAGATGTGCCCAGGTCAGCAGCTGGCATGAGGCATTAACGACATTAACATTGCACTGCTTGCCATATTATCTCGCTGCCTCTTATTGATAACCACCTTACCTTGATGCTATGTAAGTAAATTGCATCCATGGTAAAGCCCGCTAGCATTACCCTACCTTAGTGGGCGATGCCCATGAGCAGAAGTCGGGGGAACTGTGACACCCTCTTGCACATGCTCGGGTATACACCAACATTGGTGTTGCTTTTAACTTTCCAAACACTACAGTATTTACTAATTATATATCAGATGTGTTTTGCATCATGACTTGTAATCTCAGAATTTGTCTTTAATGTACAGTATGGTATATAAATTCATAAAGGAGAGCTATTGACAATTAAATTTTAAAAAGTTTACACTTGCATTTCCCTTTGGATCTGTTTTGAAAAAGTGTATATTGCAACATTTTCAGTTTAACCCGAATCATTTTATATTTGAAGTTCACACTGCATACTCCCTCTTAAATAGGCATGATCAATTTGTGAAATGATCTTCCCTTTTCCTCAACAGAATACTTAGTTTGTGTGCCTTTCATTATGACATGTTCTCAATGCTCTCATTTTCCAACTGACTTGCTATTATAATTTTAAAGAATTGTGAAGAGGCTATCGATCTAATAGCTGTTGAGCACATAGCAATAAAGGTGTAATGTTCCATAATCATAAATCTTAAACAATGGGAGTAAAGCAGGCATAGATTTGAAAGCATTGATTTGAGGGACCCAGTTTGTAGCCCTTTCTCATGGGTTAGAAGCCTGTACTGCCACCCACAATACCTTAAGCTCAGAGGTTACTTGTACAGCAATTTACTTTGTTTAATTCTAAAAGCCAGTCAACCAAATAATTGCTCAAAATTATGACCGAAGTCCATAAAAGGCATCGGTCATTGAGTGGGTGTTGTGGGGAGCAAGGCGGAACACGTCGTGTGGCAATGGTCCACTGACGGCAGGATGTGTGTTTCAGCGGCGTCTTCGTGCGCATAAAGAATAAGAACCTGCACGCAGACTGCTTCAAGTGTTCTACATGCGGTTCCTCTCTCAAGAATGTGGGTAAGTTACTTGTATCCCTTGTCTCCACCTTTCCTCACTCCTACCCTTGTAATTTAGATTCTCATTAAATCCTCATTCTTTTCATAACACAACGCTGACATTTTCACACGGCCAATTTAGGAATCTTTTTTACTGTTCTAATTTTTTCCAACAGTGCCTCTGTAGTATTATTTCCTAGGTAGTACGAGCTATTAAATCTTTATTTTTTTAGGTGACTGTGGCTTCTAGAATCAGAAGTGGCTATTTGGAGGAGGAGGAGGAGGAGTGGAGTCTGGTTAAAATTGTGCAGATAGTATCAGTGAGGTGTGTGGTGAGAAGGTGAGCGTTGTTAACCCCGAGTATTATTGCCTAGGCTACTACAACATCAACGAAAAGCTGTACTGCGACGTGCATGCCAAGCAAGCTGCCCGTCACAATCCTCCAGGGCCCAACCTAGAGCCAATCATTGTAAAGCCGTGAGTGTCCTTGTCTTACTGTATAGTGTGGTTTTTCCTTACAAATTTGTTTAAATTTATTGGTGTCATAAATATTTACTTGCATCCATAAAATATTAGCAAAGTAAAATGTTTTTCTCCTTTGCATAGCGGTGCCCCTGTACCAGCTGGTGCCATGCCTGCCTGCTTGGCCAAGGTGGCTCCTGCCCCTGCTGTAAGTATAAAGAGCCACTTGCCAGTGCCACTATACACTATGTAATAAAAAAATTGTAACATTAACCCAGGTTTTTTTCACACTTCAGTACCATAGTGGGATTTGCATCGTGACCTTGTACCATTTGATGTAGCCTTACACGTCAACTAACCACCGTAAATAATGTTACCAGCTTAATTGTTCTATAAAGACCAATGTTAAATTTTGAAACCAAGAACCGTTAGGCATTCAAAAGAATCTTAAGTCGTAATGCATGCAGCTATGTCTGGTTCTCCTGTGAAATGAGAAAGGTGGCATAAGGGATTGAATTTTACTATTATCATTCAATGAACCTGGAAGCGTAAGGTAAGAGTTAAACAAGTTTCCTTTGTGTTTGGCCACATGACGACTGGTGACAAATTAAATAGTTTACAGAATGACCACAGTACTGTACATTTATCAGATATATATTTGTAGAATATTTAGAAATCTAACAGTCTATATGAACACATTTTTCTAGCTTTCTCTTTCACTTGCACACTCGCACACAAGCCTTTGTCAGACTTGAATCAAACTGTTTTGCTGGAAGTGGGATGGTACTGGTCGCTCTTGTGTTCATGGCTATAATAGCTGTCACAGCAGATTTGTTAACTAGGCCTGTACTCTGGCAGCCCTTCAAGCCTCCTGTGGGTGGTGTGAGAATTATGCCCACGTCCTCCGTCCTCGCCCCAGCACCTATGCCCAAGTTCGCCCCAGTCCCCCCGCCTAAGGTACACCAATAAAGGACAACCAATTCTTCGCTGCCACTAGATACATAGTTTGGAGTGTTGTAGATGTATTAGCTTCTCCATAGCTTTATTGCAAATAAAACCCATCATTGTTTTAAAGGTTTTACATGGATTTAGTTTCTGGATGAGAGGGTAGAGTTGTGTTTGAGGGCACTTGTACACAAAACTGAACAACTTTATGGTTAAGAGTTGTGTAGATGTCTCAAGTATTGGGAACACTTAAAACCTGTGTGGAAGGAAAGTCTCAGATGTGGTAAAATAGATTATTCTTTAAAATGGCATTACATAGGAACATATGTGGGTACCCATGGCATCAAATGCCCATTCAAATTGTTATTATTCCCTTGTTTGTGAAAGTCAGCAAAGGGCCTCCTCCATATTTGGTTTAGAGCATCACTTCTGAGGAAAGAGAGATACAGTACTGGTTATTACACTGGTGATGACAAAGATCTCATCCTGTGTAATTGACGTCTCTACAGCATTTTTTGTAAGGCTGATAAGGAATGCTACAGTTTCAAATAAATACCTTGATAAAAAAACGGTTTTACTGGTTCCAACTTGAAAAAAAAAGACAAAAACACTGCTAAAAATGTGCTTTTATACATACTCTTTTACATGTATGCAGTGATGTTTAATCCAAATGGGTAAAACCCTAAATAAGGCAGAGACTGCACATGTTTAGCTGGTAATAAAGCTACAGAAGTTCAATTATATCTTATAAAACTAAATGTTGTTGCTTTACTGAGATGACCATGCATTCCAATTATTTTTTCAACTTGTGAACTGAATTTAAAATGTACTCTTACTGCTTACAGCAGGTTTTACTGCATGTACAGCAGTAAGAACAAGGTTTGTCAATCTTCATTTATGAATGTTTAGATACTGTACACATCTGTGCTAAATCTGGCCATGATGCATACAATTTTTTTAATGCACTGTTAATAAATCTAAATTGTTTAAAAATCACTAATTAGTTTATAAACTTGGACCAATATGTGGAATGATTTATCAAGACAAAATTGTAATGAAATTGCTGAACATCTCAGTTGTGGCTAAATAATTCTCTGCTTGTCACATAAATTATCATACGATGAAATTCCATTCATCGTTTGATGGTAAAAAAAATAGATAAGGCATATTTTGTAATTTATGAATGTATAACAACTCTCGGCTGAAGTGTTTTTCCCAGTGATATGAAGTGAGTGAACCTTGATCTTAAAGCAGTAACAAGGTACTTTTCACACTGTTAAAAATATACTGTATCGACTTTAATATATTAATTCATCCACAAAGTTTATCAAGTGCATAAAGTTAACCACAACTAGTGTAAGAATCTCCTAATAAACCTTTAATTATTTTTAACTCGTTTGTGGTGTAGCATTTATCAGCCTTAAAGATACTGTACAGAGTTTACTCATTGTAATAGACAAAATTTTCATTATCAATGCTGCTCATTATTCACTTATAACAACACTTAAATAATTACTCGTTTTTATATATGATGGACCAATGCAAATGCATAGTTGCCAACTCTATGAATAGTTAGTATAGGAAGTGGTTTGTTGATATGGTCAATGGGTTATGTGGATATGAATGATCAGTGGTGGGTAGTTTTGTTGAAAAATTTAGCAATAAATTATAATTGATTAGAATAAAGTAATAAAGGGCCTGTGCAGCCTCCTTCATCAGGCAACATATAACATTTGGCCCTTTTTTTTTTCAACTGGATAATGATCAATAAGAATATTTGTTTAATAGTAATAAAATGTATTATCAGCTTGTCAACAAGTTCCATTGTTGAGGACAAGAAGCTTGTACTTAGGCTTACCTACATCAAGGTTTCCCTCTAGGTCAAACTACTGACCACCTCCAGGATACAATCCACAGAATTTGCCTAAATTCTTGGGTAATTATCTACTGTTTGGTGAACAGAGGTATCTGATGAAAGGGAAACTTGTTGTCCATAAATTGAACCTGGAATCCTTGGTAGGCAAACTTAAACCACTGTACTAGTATGGATGTGTGTTGGGTTAGTTTGGGAATGATTAATATGGAGCGTTTGGTAAATAGGCTTGTGTACGAATCAATGGAGAGTTGTTGGGTATGGTTAGCAATTTTTTTTTTTTCTTTCCCCCAAATAATAGTAGGTATTAACCAAAGTGTACAGTGAAGGACTCGTACGCAAAACATTGATACTGGAGAATAGTGCTGAAATAATGCTCTCGCGCACCAGTTTTGCTCAATTTAGATTACGCACTTTCCTTCTCGGTTATTATTGCTCATTATTAACCCAATCAATTTTTAAGTTGCATAATGTTTGGGCTTTGAAGTTCAGCCTTCATTTGAGCAAGTTTCTAAATGTTTCAGCTTTGTGCTGTAGTTTTCTAATGGAATGGAATGCAAGGTGTTTGCAATGTAGAATCCATTTACCAAACCTGTTTTACCCTAACAGTTGCTCGCACTAGTTAAGGACACAATTTTAAGCAGAAACGGTCACCATTGTTATTGGTACCAGAGATGGTGCCCCAGTTTAATAGCGTTTCTATTGCTAATGTTTTGGCGGGATAATTGATGCAATTTTGTCTACTATATTAACGAGAGGACCAAGTTGAACTGAAAGACAATTTCTCTATTTAAAAGTAATCAGAACTAGGAAATTTTTGTTATTCCACTTTGCATGCAATATGTTTTACACTTGAAATCTTTTAATTAACACTAAGGGTAAGTGCTGCAACAGTTTTAAGTATTTAGGAAATTTGCCTCTACAATTAAAATCTTTAATTATTTAACAGTTAACGTTGTTCAGGTGTGCATAAAGTTGATTACTGTCCTTACATGTATTTCTAACTTGTGTTCTGTCAAGTCTTTTAGAAGATTTTGTAAAGTAATCTAAAACTGACACTAATAATGAAAATAATTTTTCTTCCTTTAATAATTATAGGAAGATAAAATGTTTGCAGTATTAACATGGTCAAACAGGGATGGACACCACACAGCCTGGCGACAATAGCAGCTACTAGAAGAGCTCTAGTACTGTATTTACATCCCATTAGTCGCAATCACGTATTTCTTACAGCCCGAGCCAGTGGCCCAAGAAACCACATCAATACCAGCCCCAGAGCCAGAACCTGAACCAGAGCCAGCAGTGGAACCCCAACCCGAGCCTGAATTCGAGCCGCAGCCCGAGGTAGATCCGTTTCCGCATTTCGCTGTCAACACGCTCCTTCATAGCCACACTAGTACTGCCTGGAAAGTGGCTGCTGCTCCCGATGGCAAATCTATACCCTGTTGCTCTTGTCATTTCCCGTTCTCGTCAGTCCCCTGGTTTCTACCTGATCTTGGTCATTTTGCTTGCTTGACAGCCTTGGTTGGTTAATTATTGGCAGATTGTTTGATCTATAAGCATGCATGTTGTGGTTAGTGAAAATTAAGGTCAAATTGAAGGTTTATACGAGACATGTCATACCATGAGGATTATTTGTAGATTAACTGGAGCATGTTACTGCAGGCATCATGTTGGTTATGTAGTCGTCTTACGCTATTTGGGTGTTCATTGTTCCAGGTCTGTTGTAGAACTGTAATGTTGTCTGTTGATAGCATTTTGGCTGATGGTTCCTCTACTGGTTGTGCATGGTCACATTCTAATTCATGCATTCTGCTGGGAGTACAGAGAAATCCTGGGTGTCTTGTTAGTCTGCTTTTTTTTCTTTTTTATAAAATCTTCTATTATTTTTATCAATTTTTTTTTAATATATATATTATATAATTTAATTTTATATAATGTATATATAAGTATATTATATATAATTATATTTATAATTGTATATAATTTTATATAATATATAATTTATTTTATTTTATTTTTAATGAATCCTAACAACTTTCCTTGAATATGCATTAAGCTTTATCCTAACTGCTTTGACATTTAATTTGCTAATTATATTTTCAAAGTTTATTATGTTAGCATAATTCCAGGGGTTATCTCACCTAGCCCATAACACTATCATTGATGGATCCCAGACTCTTGTCGATGTTAACTGGCAATGTGCCCAGGGTTTATAATTGCCCGTGGCATGTCTGCCCATATGGTGGCACCGCCAAGAGTTCTGAATGCAATTATATGGATGAAGGAAAGTGTCCTGGGCCAGTGGCCATCATGGTGTAAGACCCAGGATGCTGATGGTGAGATCCCCTGTGGAGGCAGCTTTGCGACACCACTTACTGGGTCGCCTCTGACACTTCCAGCCTGTCGTCACCGAGCCTGAGCCAGTACCAGTTTCTGAACCTGTTGTGGAGGCTGCACCTGCACCTGCACCCATCCAGTCTGAGCCCGAGCCTGCGCCCGAGCCCGCACCTGCGCCCGAGGTATACATGGTTGTGAGTACGACACTTCTGGGAGCCCAGTCACGACATGCTTTTATCCAGGTGTTGAAGGCAAGCTGAAGGATCCTAGTCTCATTCTTGGATCAGATCTAGTACACAATGTGTTACTAGCCCAGTCATCCTGTTGATTGTGACTAGAGAACAAACCTCCAGTTGTAGCTTCTGACTGCCTTGGTGAAGGGTGTGGCATGATGGACTCTGGAAGTGTGCCCACCTACCACTGTGCACGCCTTGCCCTTGCCTTTCATAATGGGCACAACACTCAGACTCTAGGAGAGGAATGATGTGTCTTCACTCATTCTAGAGATTCCAGTCTCCAAGTACTCATTGACATAATCGAAAGGAAGGTTTGGAGGTCTCTTGGGGGGAAGGGGGGAGGGGGTTGAAAACCACCATTCTGTAAGCCACTACATTAAAAATTGATTTAATCAACACATTACAAAATTATGGAATTTAGTGTGTGAAGCTTTTTGACAAGGAATGGTACCTTACTGTACTTAGTTTATTCTGCTAGTAATTTTTCAAAGCCCTTTATAAAAGCAATTGGTAAATGTAGTGGTTTCAGGCATTTTTTCCCCAGATATTACACTAGCATTGGTAGTGATGAATGGCATTTTGTGAAATTGAACTCTTTAAGTATCTGGGATATATTTTAAATGGTAAGAGGGAGGGGAGCACAGGGAAGTTAACACAAGTGAGGTGTGGTACACAGTACTGAGTGACTGGTGTGGGTGGAGGCACCACCAGCACTACTGGATTGTTCCACTGCATGACAGTCACATGTTGCATGTGTGTAGAAACATATCGGTGCATGTAGTAATGCCCACGTGCATGTATACTCGTGTATATGGTAGGCATTTTTACATTGGGATTACATATTCATATCTACACCCAACAAAAATAAATGCAGAATGCATACACATCCTATTATGTTCATAACCTATATAAACTTGCAATTGTTGTATGCATATAAATATACAAATTAAGTGTTCATATTTACATGCAGGCATGTCTTTTGAGTTTATACAAGTGTATTGATGTACAATACAAGCACCACAGTACACTGTTATTGACTCCAGTTCTTGCTCTTGATGTAGGTTACGTTCAGAAGTTTGGTTCCTAATGCACTCGCGCACATATCGAGTGTTTCCATCACCTTCTCTGCAATGCTTTCCATAAAGTACTATATTAGCTAGGTATAGTTGCTTGAACCATATATATTATATTAAAAAATGGAACTCGTAAGACTATTACTTGAATTTTATTAATACTGTAGTACCATCGGGAAAAGTCAATAATTTATAATAGCTGTAATGTATGGAAAAATACTACTGTACAGTATGGGGACAAAATAGTGCTACAGCAAAAGGGGTAAGGACATGTTTTGTAGAGAAATGCAAAGATTGGAGTAGGGTTCTATTTGAAGAATATTTGACCTGCAATGTCTGTTGGACTAATGAATGGAGCAAGTGCTTATAAAAGAAAACTGGGCAGATGTGTGAGGTTAGTGACATTGCCTAAATGGTAATGCAAAGAATTGGCAGACGTTACATGAATGCTTGCATAGTGTACGCAACTTCAAAAAAATGTATTTGTGTATAGGTTGTCATTTCTAGATTAAAATCTTAAACCTAATTTTATTTACCACAAACATGTCAGCATTAAGGAAAAGTATGTAACTCTTGAAAGTGTGTTTACACCAGAGTAGGCATACAGGCTAGACCTTACAAAATTTACTCTCCCCTCCATACGTTGAACTCGTATCCTGCGCCCATCCCCCACCCCTTCTCGTTCAACCGCTTGGGCTGGACAGTAGAGCGATGGTCTCGCTTCAAGCAGGTTGGTGTTCAGTCCTCAACCATCCAAGTTGTTGGACACCATTCCTTCCTATCCACCCCCCCCCCTCTCCCAAATCCTTATTTTGACCCCTTCCTAGTGCTATATAGTCATAATGGCTTGGTGATTTCACCTGATAATTCCCCCCTTCCCTGCCTCCTACCGTCTGTCTGTCTCTCCCCCCCCCCCTCTCTCTCTCTCTCCTCTTTTTTTCTTTCTTTTTTCTCTTTTTTTTTCTTTCTCTCTTCTTCTTCTTCCCTCCCCTCCCCTTCCCCCTCACCCCCCCCCTTCTCTCACACATGCACCACCACAAAAAAAGACCTGCTATAAATAGGACCTACATGTTCCCCCAATTAGCAGAGTTGCATCATGTATGGCAGTTATATTAGGTTTAGTGGGCGGAGTGTCCAAAGATGTGTGGTGGGCGGTGTGGACGGTAGCCCATTAGCTGAGGTGGCAGCTAATGGGCAGATCGTCAGCCGACTTGATTGGCAAAGTCATCTCTTCCTCCCTGATGCATGTCAGCCCTCCTGTGCACGTGTTATGTTTGTATCCTTGTTTGGTGATTGCACCTCGTTATCACCCCCACCTCGCGGTCCTTTCAGGCCGAGGTCGCTCCCACTGAGCCCCAGACAGAGGCTCTGCCTACAACTGAAGAGATTGCTCAACAGCAGGAATTATCACCACAGGCCAAGCCACAACTTGAAACTCAGCCTGTGGATAAGTCAGAACAAACAGAAATTGAGGCTAAACCAAAGCCAGAAACTGTATTGGAAACCCAGGCTGTATCGGAGCCAGAACCAGAGCCAAAGAATGAGGCTATTTCACAGCCAGAATTGGAATCAGAAACTGCAATAGAGCGTGAAGCCCCAGCTGAAGCTGAACCCAAAGCCACAGCAGAGCCGGAAACTGCAGAGGAATCTACATCAGAACCAGAACCTGTCGCTATTGCCGAGGAGTCTTCGCCAGTGGTGGTCCTGGCAGGGGAGCCTGTTGTGGCCCCATGCCCACCACCCCCCGTGCTTGAGGTAGAGTGGCGCATGTCCCCCACGCATGATACTGGCTGGGCCAGTGCCACAGTCTACCGTAGCTCAGCGTCCATACATACGCTGCTCCACAAAGTAACCCTTGTTCAGTGTTCTCATATAAAGTTAATTTGCAACTTGTTAGTGATGGCGATGAACGCCTGCTAGCAACTAACATCCCAAGCATCATGCATTGATAAATCTTGAGTTTGACTAGCATAGTGTGGATACAACATTACATTTAGTGATGTTGGTCTATGTGAAAGTTCCCCAGCCCTCAGCAATAGTCACATAGTGAGGGGCCGCTTCCCCCACCTTCCATGTCAGGTGTTGGGAGGTGGTCCCGGTCAGCTCATGGGTGTACCTTAGTACTAATGTGTTCTCTTAACGTTGCAGCCAGCGCCGGCCCCTGTTCCTGCCCCCATCTTTGCTCAGGCCCCCGCAGCGCCCATGGCGGCCCCTCCACCCACATTCACACCATTCAAAGCCCAGGCAGCCCCCGCGCACCATAAGGTACCATTTGGTGCCCCTGCTGGAAGCGTGGATGTGCGATCGCACATTCCCAAGAAAGGTACTGTACTGACTAATTGTATGGAACAGTAGGTAAGGTGGCAGAGCAGTGAAATAGTTCTTAACCAGTGGTACGACCCACAAGTATGGTTACTTCCTACACATAAGTGTAGTCGTCGCCTTGTAGCACTTTCGTGCCAGTCACAGCTAGCCTGCCCTCGCCTGCTGTTCACTTTATTGTGCTAGGTTAAGGCTATTGCTATAATTGATAGTTTTACATTATTTTTCAACCTTTGCATAGTGATACAAAAAAGGGTCCCAGTAATGGAGAGTGATCATGACTGATACTGGGCTGGGTGTGTGCCAACACATGGCCACTAGTCAGTGCAAGGCCCCATCCTTGGCAGTGTCCTCAGTCACCCACTTTACACACCCCCACATTCTGTCTGTCCATCACACATTAAAATTAATTCTCTTCTCATTACAAGGCATGATAACAATGATGAAAAAAAATGACTCGCATTACTGCCATAAATAAATTCTCATTGGATGTTTGATTACTTTTTATAAAAAACTGATGCTCTGGCATGTGAAGTGTGGCTACACATCTTATTTTTAGCTTTCGTGCATGACTAATAAAACCATGTTTTTAAAAAAATGTATAATTATGGTAGATAAAGCCAAGTTGGGCGAGGTAAATGTGTCCCATAGTCAATTGATGGTGACCTCTTTAACAGCTGGCAAGTATACAGTGTGTTTTTTTTTTAATTTACCTTGTTCCTGGAGTATGAGTATCAAGAACACACTTGCCCTAAGATAGATTTGATATACAATAGTATAGTAATTACTAGGTCTACAAATCAATCTTAAAGATAACAGCTATTATGTGCTAAATATATTGGATGCAAGAATAGATTAATGCCATAGACATTTAAATTTTACACGCATTCCATTCTAATAATAATAATCTGCTAAAATAAAGCACTGCTACTATATTTTCTTGCCTAATGAAAAATTTTATGCAAGCCAGTCGTATCGAGTCGGAACCTACTAAAGTAGGTCCATTATTCTCTTAACTTATTAGTTTAGTTTTAACTATAAAATACTTACTATGAATTGAGTACAGTACACATTTTATATTTTGGTAGATTTATTACATTCGTAATCTTTATTTTGTCAAATAAACTTACCGATAATCATGCTGTATGCGTATTTAAAGTTATGCTTTGTAGTTGTATTTCCTGGTAAAAGCCACAATGGAAATGTTTATGGTGGTAAATAAAAAATTACATAATTTCTATAAATAAAATAACTTGTTTTAAGATGTTGGATTAATATTCATTAATTGGTAAATAAAAACCAAAGATTTTCAGTCACAGAAAAGTGAGATTACTACATTAAAAGAGACAGCAATCAACCAATACATAGAGTAGCCCTCAAGTGTGGTTTGTATAATGCGTACATAGTTGGAAGCTAGCCAGGCTACAGGAAGTACGATGGACAAGGGCCAAAACCAGCAGAACTAAAATAGCTGGTTATAGCTACTATGACACTTGACTATTGAAATGAGGCTGACATATGGTCCTCGGCCTGTTTTATATTACTGAAGCTAATGCTCGGTCATCGGCTATAATAATTATGCAGTGCCATATTGTATTCGTGTGGCTTTGGCACTGGGGCAATAATAGTTTTAAATAAATTGTAATCAAAGAATCTTTGATGTAGAATAGCTTATGTTAGTGTCAAAAGATAGCAGGTTTTCCTCCTTGCATAAACACTAAAACATCTGAAACGTGCTTGTGTAAGGTACGAAGTCTCCAAATACTGTACTATACTGTATAAGGTACACTTCACAATCATATGCCTAGATGGGCGGCACCATGTTGAATCCAAGTTAGGTCAACATTAATGTTCCCTTGACCTTGTATCATTACTATAGCACACAACCAAACTTCAGTAATGTTCACCATTCTCAATTCTGGTTTACTATAAATTGCCTTCATTAAGTACAGCATTAGAGAGGATAGGGAATTTTTTATTTTATTGCTTGGATTTCTCTAAAATGTTTGTTATATACCCTGTACTTAAATACTTCATGACTCCATTCATAAGTGAGGTATTAATACAGTATTTTAATATTCTAATGTGCAATTTAAAAAGTGTACTTTGTAATTGTGTGTAATATGGTTTTTATATAACATTGCTACGCATATTAATCAACCCAAGTTTTAAAGATAAATTTTGTTTAGACTATACCGTTAATGTATTAGAATAGAAAGTTTCACAAGCAGTAGAGATTTTATAAATACCGGGCAAATCCAGGAGTGGCATGGTCTTTATTTTGTATTTACCTTGTTAGTTTTGTATTGCCAAGCTCGTATGAGGTTTTTGAGTTTCTTTTAAGTACATTTGTGGTGAGCCAGTTTAACAGAGCAATTTAATGCAAATAAATAGTGGAAACGATTTTTGAACTTGAAGGTTAAAGAATTGAATTTTAGTCATACTGTAGCATTTAGTCTAAAACAACAATGATCTTAACTGCAGGCAGGCTTTAATTGGCATACACACTTGGAAAAATTGTCAGCAACTTCATTACTTGGTTAATGTGTTGACCAACCACTTGCATTTTTTTTAATGGTATTGTCATCTTTATTATATGAACATCACTTCCATAAACAAAACATTCTTGGATTGTTTTTAACGCATTATCTGTTATGGATCGAATTTGGGACGGCTATTGATGTACTGCGCCAATAGCTACATGCCCAGTTGCTGCATATTCATATGACTGGACATCATCATTACAGAAATAGAGACCTGGATATGCCTGTATTGAATGAGCAAATAGTTGGTGCTGGTAGCATAAAGTGTTTGTAGGTTGTGAGCAAGGAGCATTTAAAGTATCCAGCTGCATCACAGTTCATGGTGGGGGTGGGGGCAGACTGTTGCTTGGCTCCAGCATCCCCCACTGCCCACTCTTAGTGGGCAGTGTATTCTAAGCCAAGTATTCAACAGTTGTCTTGTTAACTGCTTCAGCTTGGACATTGCACTGTGTATTGAACACACATTAGTTCACATACATTATTGCATACCTGCCAACATACCGAAACTACAAATTTATCTACTGTACATAAGTACTATAAAATCTTGTGCATGCAACAGTTCAGTACTGTATTTTGTATTATTTATTTAAGTAAAACTGGCTTTAACCACCATTTTCCTTCATTAGTTACCCAGCCATGTTAGTAGTGGTATGGCAAACTGTTTGAAATGAATCAATTGGAAAAAAAAACTTGTTAACCAAAGCTAACCTGCAAAGGATAATTTATTTTAAATTAATTTTAGTTGACACTTTATAGATACAGAATACCAGTTTGAGTATGAAGTGGTTTTTGTAAAGATGGTAGCTGTGCATTAGTGTACAAATGTGCTTCAAAGTGGACAGTGGTGATGTTTAAGCTGCCATTTTGTAAGCAGCCCGTTGCTGCAACTGGTGCTACTGGAGTTGAGCTGGAGCTAACCCAGATTCCGAGGTCTGCCCTTTCGTGGACTCGGGAGGTGGCTTTGCCCCACCCCCTTCTCCCTCTCCCACCCCCCCCTCTGCAAATTCCACAGCTGCCCCAGCACGTCTCCCATGCTCTTCACTAACTACAGTATTACTCACTGGCCATCTAACTTGTATCCTAGACTCTTGTCTGTCCTGCCTTCTTAACTACTATTTTTATCCTCCTGGCAACTGCATGTACCTCGTAGAGGGAGTCTTACCAGACATTTTTTTGGACGGAGGAACCTTTTTTTCTTTTTTTAAGCATCTTTTTTTTGGCTTCCAATAAAATTAATCATAATTTGCCTCAGTTTGGAATTGAATAACAGAGCTGGTGGTCCAAATTGTTAAAAATAAATGCATGTGAGTTGGCTGATGCAACACACGTTTGCAGAGTCATTGATGCACGCACATTTTTAATCACATGCTGCTTTGTTTTGACTGGTGGACTACCGTAATAATAAATGCCAGAACTAGTTCCCTGGGGGTATCGTATTCTAATTAGGGATTTCCTTTCTTTCCCCGTCCCCATTTTTTGTCTGGTATGTTCCTTCCCTCCTCTCCTCTGCTTCCCCTCTCCCCATTTCTGCTTCCTTGCCTTCGCTTTACCCAATCTTATTCACTTGTGGTAATTCACATCATTCACACCTGTATTGGTGCATATTGCTGCCACTCCTGGATATCATGATCACTACTATTCTTGACATTTTATTATTTTTTTTCTTTTAAATTTCTTTACGGATTAACTGGCACACTTGAATGTATCTGTTGTATGTTATTTATACACAAATTATTCTGGAAATCATGCCTATTAATACTCTTGACTTGTCTGACTTCTTAAATTCCACTTCTTGACCATTGATTCGTCGCTTTTTATAATTTATTCAACTTTATCTGGTTTGGGTACCTTATGCTCCTCTACTTCTTGCTCATTGTTTTCTGGGTCCCTTGCTCACTTTTCATCCACACCATTGGTGCAGGTGCACCCTTTGTGTGGCCGCCACCAAAGAAGGTGGATGCGGTGGAGGAGGGGCCCCGCTCGCCTGCTTGGGCGCCTGCGGGGGAACCTGTTTATGTGCCCAGACCAAAGCATGCAGCTGGTCCACCCCCAAAGAGGCCTCCCCTCTTGCCGACTCCACCACCTCCAAAAGATTACGATACCATGGTCATAAAGGCTTCCCCTCCCACCCAGCAACCTGCTAAACCTGCCAAAACTCTCCCAGCTTCTGCTTCTGCTCCAGTAGTTGCTCCTACTCCTGCACCAAACCCTGTTGTAACTCCAGCATGCACAGTTCCCTCTTCACCTGGAAAGGGTAAAATAGACCCTCCGGCTTTTACGCCTATCGCTGAGCCAATGCCATCAGCGACCAAGTGTGCCCCTACCCCTAAGCTATCTTCTACTGTGCCTGCTTCCCCTAAGCCTGTTGCTGCTAAACCAGCTGCTGCTAAACCTGCTGCTTCAAAGCCTGTTAGTGGTTTTAAGTCTGTGGCAGCTCCGAAGCCAAATCCATCACAATCATCAAATGTTGGGTTTAAGCCTGGTGCAGCGTCAGGCAAAAAAACTGGTTTGGCCCCAGGAGCTCCCTCAAGACTTGCCTCTGCTCCTATCCCTCCCCCTGTTTCAGTTCCTATTGTTAATTCTATCCCAGCTCCTGCTCCTAAGCCTGCTCCAGGTCCAGCTGCAGCATCCGCATCAGCCCCAATGCCAAAACCTGCAGCCCCCAAGCCCCCCGCTCCCACAGGCCCTGCTCCGGTCTTCGCTCCAGCACCAGCCCCGGCTCCAGTTTCATCTCTGGGTGGAATGCCCAAGCCAACACCAATTCCAGACCTGGGTGGTAGTTCATTGAAGGGTGTTGCCCAGACTGGTGGGCAGAGGACTGCTCCTCGTCGAGGACGTGGTGTGATGAACCCATCTACTACTGCAAGGATACCCATATGTGCCGACTGTACACGTCAGATCAGGTTTGTGATGTATAGACTAGAAATTATTGTAGTGTAGCAGTGTGGCCCAAGTTTGCCTTGAGCATGTGTGTGTGTGTACCTTTTGTCATGTTTGTTGTACCTTGTGGCCAGGCACAGTGACACCCGCTGCCACTACCAGCAAGGAGCGCCCATCCTGCCATGGTTGCCACACACCCATCAGGTAATACTAACTTGTTTGTATATACAGTACAGTACTGTTAGTCTTCACTCTAAACCAAATAAAATACTGCAAATAAAATATTAATAAACTACAAATTAATATTTTTGGCTAAATCATAACGTTACTTGCCAGATGATATATTTAGACTAGCTGTGAATAAATAATTATATAAACTGTTGCTAAATAAATATTACTAGCTGTGAATTAAAGTGTATACTGCCTTATATGACTTAAAATACGTTGCTGTTTTACACTTAATGGTAATTAAAATTAAATTTAGTATAATGGCTGATCATCTAAAGTTAATTGCCAAGAATTGATAAATGTCAGATTTTAGTGGAATGACGATGGTAGGCTCGTCATACAATCAACGCATCCCTGCATGTTGTTGTAAATACATTTGTGTATCTGCATGTTACCTATAGTTTTACACCTAAAATTATGCATGGACTTTGAATTGTTTTATTCTCTCCATTAATGAAAATTTACTTTCATACAGTGTCATTTTTACTTGGGAAATTGGTTACATTGCTATTTAGCCTTGTTTGCACTAAACACACAATTCTAATATTGATCATATTCTGCAGGGGCCCATTTGTTTCTGCATTAGGCAAGACCTGGTGCCCAGATCACTTCGTCTGCTCCACTGTCAGCTGCCGTAGGGCCCTGATTGACATGGGCTTTGTGGAAGAGCAAGGTTCCCTTCACTGTGAAGACTGCTATGAAAAGTATTTTGCTCCCATCTGTGGGAAATGTGACAAGAGGGTGAAAGGGGTATGTATATTTGAACTTTGTATGTACTGTACACGGTACTTTCATACCGTCACTATCTTTTAATGTTAAATGTTCACACTAATTTTGTAGTTTAATTTTGTAATTTAAACATTTATTCTACTATGGGCTCTTACTATAAAAGAAATGTAGCTAGAAAAATGCACAGAAGAATCATTATGGCTTTAGTGGTGTGATAGAAACAAATGCCATGCCAGTATACCAGTATAACTATAGCACATATGATAAAAATCTAGTTTTAATATATACTGTATATGCAATGTAAGGAGCATTGTGTCAGTAAGGGGATAGATCAAATATGGAATGGCAGTGTTGCAAGGAAAGCGATCTTCAAGATTGAGAAGTAATTGTATGGGTGATCTGCCGAGAAAGTGCACAAATGTGTTGGAAATCTGAGGCAGAGGCAGGTGTGACGCGTGTGAGACATTGTATCTTGCATGTCCACAAATTATAAGTATTACTGTACTTGATGTGGAACAAATGTATGACTGTCATGTGCGGTACTTGACACCTAAACATAAAATGGCTGAAATGTTTCTATTTTATATTAAGATTTATTCCTGGGGCCAGGTACTGGAAGAGGTTATTCAGGACAATATGCATGGGATTTATTTTGATGTGGGTATTGTGTAAATACTTAAACATAATTACGGTTTTGCCATTATAACGATGTAGCCTTTCTGCTTTTAAATTAATAAATGTATATAACATTGAAGATGCTGATAACGGAGCAAAAAAAAAAGTACTATGTAGTTAGCCGATTCTAAAAGAATCAGATTTACTGAAATTTATCAAAACATACCGTACTGTATAGCATAAAGCAATTAAGCAAATGCGGCTATTGATCTAAACATAGGGTATTGCTACGGAGATGTGGGGCAGTGTAATAACGACGGTAAATAAAAAGATGCAAACATCTCTTATTGTCCCTTTAATCTTTCACACTTAAAGTAAAAGGCATAGTGGTCTGCAAAATGCCCCACACTGCATAACATATTACATATAGAGCAAGCTAGCATGAGGTAACAATAGGACTTGCTCTCCATTACATATTTTGATGTACTAGTGTGCGACAAGTAGTATGAAAGATCTGTAGTCATTTTATATCTTGAATTGTCCCCAGCTAGGGTTTTCAATCCTTTACTGTGAGTACCTACACACCGAATAAGGTTGTGAATTTTTCTTTTATATTAATAATTTGAGTGACAAATTTTAGGTGAAATGTGAATAAAATTATGCATTTTTATTCTTAGGATTGTCTTAATGCTGTTGGTAAACAGTTCCATCCGGAATGTTTCTGCTGTGCCTACTGTGGCAAGGTGTTTGGCTCTGGTGCCTTCTATCTGGAAGATGGGTTACCTTACTGTGAAGCTGGTGAGTTCAAAGTCGGCTGATAATTGCTTGAAGTTTGCATAATTTTAACTTAATAATTAGTTTACTGAAAATATGCTGTTTATGGGATATAGGCAAGTGTAACATGTTTGAGAAAGGTGTGTAAATGTGTGGGATGGATGGATGTGTGTAGATAGCTGCACTGTGCAAAGTGCCTTTAGGCGCTCGGAGAGTTGTGCTTTTTGTTTTTTAATTTGGCTATATTTGAATGTTTTTTAATGTTTTCATTACTATTTGTGTTTTGAAATGGAAATAGTTGACTTTGGAAACATTTTGACATTAAATTTACCTGAACATTTGTAAAAATAACAAAAATATGTCCTTGACAATTGCACCAAGACGTTTTTGCCGAAAATAGGTGAGCAGTGCAAGGGTTAATGAATGTACTTTTGGTCAGAGTGGGATGGATGTGTGAATTGGCTGCTCTTAAGCAGAGCACTGTAATGTACAGTACAGGTACTAGTATTTCACTAAACATTTTGCAGTTTTTTTCGGACTTTAATCTTGTAAAATTCCCACAGATTGGAATGACTTGTTCACGACCAAGTGTGTGGGGTGTGGTTTTCCTATCGAGGCTGGTGACCGATGGGTAGAAGCCCTTAATAACAACTATCACAGTCAGTGCTTCAAGTGCTCGGTAAGGTTTTAAGAGTTTTTATAAGCCTGATAGTGTGCGCGACCTCAGTATGTGTTTAACTATATTTGAATTATTAATCTCTCCAGTACTTCAGCTAGTCGGTCTTGGTGTCTTGTAGTGTCACAATTTTCTTTTTAAATGCTATTCTTTAAATAGCAGCCCAAAACTAATCAAAATGCTGTACCATATGGCATAATCTTGATTTTCAAAAACATATATACAGTATAAAATTTCCAGCATTCCTAATATTGCCCGTCTTAATTATCTGATAACATCCTTAGGTATTTATAGACTGGGGAAGGGGACATTTCATAGAAAGTTACCAAACCCAAACATATGTAAATGTGTGTAAATATTGTATAATCTTAGCCTATAGTTCACCTAAAGATGCCTACAATGATAAGCTGATATGAATGGTTCATACACAAAGAAATCCCATTATCATGATATCAATAAATAAATTCACAGGAGCCGTGATGAGGGTTTAAACCTATGCACTGGGTGTTCTCGGGCACACCCTAGTCGACTGTACCACGACATGATCAAAAGAATTGCAACCTGGGGATGCTACTGCTCCTACAAGGATCCTGAGGCTTCCTTGTGGGAGCAGTAGTACCCCCAGGTTGTAATTCTTTTGATCATGTCGTGGCGCAGTTGACTAGACTGTGCCTGAGAACTCGGCGCATAGGTTTGAAACCTCATAACGGCTCCTGTGGACTTGTTCAGTCTTCAGTCACATGATGATTAAATTTGTAAATTGTATCTTTGTACATAAAAATGGTATTAATGAGTGTAGGGCTGCTGTACTGGCTTTGGAAGATTGGTTAATTTATATTTTTTTCCAGTTAGGCTAAACATGTTCTACAACTTCCTTAGCTGGCATATAAAAATCCTAAAATATTTTTCAAATGCAATGCTCATGATTTTCTGCCCTTTAGCTCTTTTATACAGTTTGTGCACATACAATGGAAGTAGGAATTGTTAATTGAATTGTTATTGGAAGTAGGAATTTTAGCTGTTTTGATAAAGCAGCTAATGCCATTTATGAACTGCTACAAGTACTGGATGCCTGAAATACTTTGTTTCTGCATGGAAATCCCCTGCTTTGATTGCAGGAATGTTGAAAAATTAACTGTTGCATATTGCCCTGCATGAATCATTAAGAAACTAATACATATAATGTTTTTGTTAAAACATTGTGACCCTATCATTGCAACCACAATTAAGAGGCACTTAATTATAACCAAAGATATTTTATTTTGTTTGCATACATTTAAAGAAAGATTGTTTGCTCCCATCCTATCCACAGGTTTGCAAATCCAACCTAGAGGGCAAGAGCTTCTATGCCAAGAACGGCCGACCCTTCTGCAAGTCCCATGCTGGCCGCTAAACTCCAGCCTGGCCCCCATTTGCTTGGTGCTTTTGATCCGACATTTTACCTTATTCCCATATCCCCCTTGAGCACCATAGTTCTTAACTAGTCCATTGCAAGATTTCGCTCAAGACTCGTGGACTATGGACATTTTAGTTCCTTTAATATTTTTCATTGCAAAGTGTCTCACGGAGGATTTGGAGATATGGGAAAAATATGCTTTTTAGAACTTTTAAAGATCAAAATACAGTATTGTTTAAAGATTATTTTAATTTTTGTTTAATTAGTTGCAATATATTTTCTAGTAAAAGTGAATAGAATATGAAGTGTCTTCTCACAAATAGCTAATTAGCTATGCATAGTTCCTAATCTTAGCTAGATATCAAATGAGTAAATTATTTTTGCAATCAATAATTTAGATTTGTTGCATAACCAAACACTAAAACTACTGCAACATTTCATGCAACTGACCTCAGCTTTGGTCTGCCTTGTGCATAAAGAAGTATTGTATACTTAAGTCTTGTGTCCTTGGACAGCGGTTGCTGGAGGTTGCTTCACACTTCTTATTCCACAGGCAGTAGAGTTGCTCAGTAATTGCAGTACAAGATTAACAATTCTTTCAATGTAGTGTGCATAATTATAGTAGTAACTAGCCTCTAACCTGCAGAAATGCCACAAGAACTTGGAGGGCCAGAGCTTCTTCGCCAAGGGTGGAAAACCTTTCTGCAAGGCTCACGCTCAGCGTGGTTTCTAAGCTGCTGCTACACAGCACGCAGGTCCCATCATGGCTCTGTCTTCTGAGAGAAGGGGTTCACCTGCTTCCATTCACAAGCAACAGAATCAACAAATTCGCAAACAGCAATGACAAAATGTTTTGGGTTGCCGAAGTATCATCATTATTATTATTGTAGCAGCAGCAGAATTCCACCACAACTGCTTATTTTCTCCTAGTATAGCTATTTATTAACATTTTTTGAGCTCCTCAAGAGTAATAACTATTGAGATGCAGCTCAATGAGAATCTCCATTTTCAGATGGTTTTACATGCCTCAAGTGATGAACTTTAAATTAATACATGCCATGGCATTATGCAACGAACATTACAGCTTTTGGTTAATGTTGCCTTCTGATGGCATAGTGTGAGTTAATGATGTTTCTGTTGCATTTATTAAATGTTTATCTATACACAATAAGGCAGAAAGTCAGCCTGTTGGCTTGAATTAAAACAAAGTGCATAAATCGCCAGTGATAAAAGTCAGTGCCTTAATTTTATCACATTAATTAGTGTAAGTACTGTATACATAAGCTTTATTGCCTAGATTAATGTTCAAGTCAGTAAAATGCAAACATGAAAGGTGTGAACCAGTATGTTGCTTGTACTATTGATTTCTTCATTGCTTCAGCCATTTTTCCAATCCTTGCTGTTTACTGTACTGTATAGAGAAATATATATAAATTGTGAATAACAGCATATTGTTACACAAGCTATTATTGTATATACGATTTTCTTAAAATGAAACCTATTTATCTAAAACCATTATACAAACCATCTCAGCAACAAGAATTTAACTCGGCTATGCTTGCTTAGTCTCCTGAATGCCGTGTGTCTTGTTTGTCCAGTTTCTGTTGATGTTTACACGCACTGAGAGCAGTCTTCGTAAATTTGGAAAAAGAGGGAATTCTAAGTCGATGCTATCCATGGAGCTTGCTTAGGGGCCATTTAATTCACAGTACACACACATGACCTTGTAGCAAACACATCTATGGAGGTTGATATAGATTGTTTTAAATTTGCGAAGGCTGAGCCCAAAAAAAAGTTTTTAACCAGTGAATTTAAAATTGTTGCGCGCTTCTTTATCTTCTGATTATCACACTCCCTTTTATGGGGTATTATAAACGACAATAGACATGTTGTAAATCTGTTTTATTCTCCTAATAACTTGAGTAAATAATTCATTTCTGATTTTAGGTATTAAATTGCTAGTCCTGTACCAAGTCCAATGGGAAAGTAAAGTTAAACTTATTGCATAGGTAAGAACATGGACTGGTAGAAAGTTTATAAAAAAAAAACATTTAATGCAATATAGGGAAAGTTGGAAAGGGTAAAATCAAATTTAAAGATCTTGAATAACATTTTTCTGAACATAGAAGTGGTTTTGGAAAAGGAATGAGTGGATTAAATAAATACAGTAATTATCAAAAGAAGGCACAAAGCATGGAAGGCTGTTGCACCATAAAATGTGCAGAATAATCACAGGGCATTAAAGATGCTAAAGAGGGGGAGAGAGAGAGAAAAGGGGGGGGGAGAGAGAGGGGGGGAAGAGCAAGAGATAGGGGGAGAGAGGGAGAGAGAGGGGGGGGGGGGGGGGAGGGGGAGAGGGGGGGAGAGGGGGGGAGGAGGAGGGAGAGAGAGGAGAGAGAGGAGAGAGAGAGAGAGAGAGAGAGAGAGAGAGAGGAGAGAGAGAGAGAGAGAGAGAGGAGAGAGAGAGAGAGAGAGGAGAGAGAGAGAGAGAGAGAGAGAGAGAGAGAGGAGAGAGAGAGAGAGAGAGAGAGAGGAGAGAGAGAGAGAGAGGAGAGAGAGAGAGAGGAGAGAGAGAGAGAGAGGAGAGAGAGAGAGGAGGAAGAGAGAGAGAGAGGAGAGAGAGAGAGAGGAGAGAGAGAGAGGGGGGAGAGAGAGAGAGAGAGAGAGGAGAGAGAGGGGGGGAGAGAGAGAGGGGGGGGGAGAGAGAGGGGGGGGGGAGAGAGAGAGGGGAGCGATCGTTATAGGGAAGCTGGAGATGACTGCGAAAGCCTACGGGATAAGATTTAAGAATGGGCTTGCAATTAAGGAAAAACAGAGGAAGATGAGAACCGGAGCAAACAGTAGAAACATGGGAACCTAGTTAGGTCTCGACTGCCACCGGATCCGCCACAAAAGTACCACGACTGGAGAGACATCTGGAACAGTCTTACCTGTTATCTTGCGGATTTTCTTTCAGATCTGAGGCAGAGGAGTATGGAACGTAATGGTAGACATAAAATTTCCAACTTTCATGTTCAGCTGTACGGATGGTCCTACGGGCCATTTCACTCGCCTTCTGAAATAAAATAAAAGAATCTGCCGGCGTCGGTGTTTCTTCTAGGCTGCATGCTTACAGCCCGAGCACAGTTTGCATTCCACCAGGGAACGCACTTCCGCATGCCCCAGGAGGTAGAGCAGAGGGCAGCGTTGAATATGGCGACATGAAAAAGGAAGAAAACTCGAGGGAGAGGTCGGAGAGAGTAGCATGTAGGGTGAATAGGTTCCAGTCAGCCTTGGTAAACTGTCACCTAGGGAAGGAGGAGAGGGTGAAAGAGAGAAAAAGGTGACAAGGATGGGGAAATGGTCACTGTCATGGAGGTCATCAAGAACCCGCCATGTGAAATCTAAGTAAAGAGACGACGAGCAGAGAGCAGATCAAAACGGGAGTGTGAGTGTGGGAGTCCACATGAGTGGGTTCACCAGAATTCAGAAGACACAGGGAAGAGAGGACAACTGGTTCAAGAAGACGGCCCCGGGTGTTCGTAAGAGCATCACCCTAGAGGGTATGCCAACAGTTGAAATCACCCAATAGGGGGTACAGGCTCCGGTAAAGAGTCCAACATGTGCTTAAGATCAGGAAGAGAAAGTGGGATATTTGGGGAGATAAATGGAACAGACTGTATACCATTTACCCACAAAGATACGGGCTGCAGAACATCGGATAAGCGACTGAAAAAGTAGGGGAAAGAAGGGAATACCAGCACGACTCGAGAGTAGTAGTTACGTGCCATAGCAAAAGCTTGGGGGAGGAAGGGTTGTGGAAGGAGAAAGGAATAACCACTAAAGTGACCAGGACAAACACCAAGCATTGGCTTCTGGACACACACAGCGATGAAAACTGTTATCAGTAGTTGGAGTTCATGGAAGTTGGCATAAAATCCATGAATATGCCATTGAAGAAGATAATGTCAAAAAGAGAGAGAACAGCAACCGAGAACAATGAAGAAACAAAGGCAAAGAAGAACACAGGAAAATCAGGATCGGTGGGGAGGGGGGCGGTGCCAAGCACCCCCAGTAAGAGGAAGGGTAAAAGGTGTAGCTGTCATAATGAGGAGTCACTCCAAATGATGAGATGGTCACCACTGGGGGCTCAACCCCACCACAGAGGTGGGAGGGGAGCAGGAAGATCAATGAAGTACCTTGATCACTGTAGCCCCCACTACAATGAATGTAGCAGGGGCTACAGAGCCTGGTCTTCCATCACAGTCTGAGTCGGGGCCTATGATCAGACATTTTTGGAGACCCAAAACTGTGGTCTTATCAATGCAGGACAAAGCTAGACATCTTAAGAGATGTTTAAAAAATGTGTGCACCAGTCCAGGCGGATTTCAAAGTAGCATAGGTATCCACAGTAAAAAAGGTGCTTATTTATATATAAATTATCAGAGCATGTTATGCTCATCATGACAAACAAAAAATATTTAGGCCATGTAGTAGGGCCAACCACCCCCCCCATGAGCCTGTGTTTGAGAAGCAGATTCAGTTACCATGCATTATTGTCTTAAAAGTTTAAGTCTCAGAACCAAGGGATACCCTTTATCAGAACATGGGAGGCTGATCGCTGGCCAGTGCAGGAAGGGGTGTGTGTACAGTAGTTCCAAGCCATGCCCTTCCCCACTTTTCTACAAGAGTTCTACTGCATCGTACATTCTCCACCACTGGAGCAAAGACTTTCTCCCTCTCACCCCAGCCTTGAAACCTAATCAGCCTCCATTTCACATACACAATACATGGAAAAGGGTAAGAGGAGACCGAAGTAACCACCCAGCAGCCTCATGGAGTCGTACATGAGCTCCCCCCCCCCCCCATCATGACAAGGCAAAACTCTTAAAGGAAAGTCATGTACAATGCTCAGATAGGAGGCAGGGCATAATGAGCTACATCTCACTCCCCAGTCACTGATAATTAAACACTTGCATTCAGCTGACTATCTTTAGTGAGCTTTACTGGAATGAAGGATTGAAGCAAAGAGGTTAGCCTATTTGTTTTGCCTACACAAGAACACCACCTACACCAGGGATGAAGGTAGCACTTTCGTGTAGCGATGTTGCTAAAATGGGTCGTCCGATTGCTATTCATAAGCTTTCATCTATTGTCTGGAGAGGAGTTTCGAGAGCTCTTCCACTCCCCGAGCCTGGCCTGGGTCCAGGCATGTCAAGCCTAGCCCCAAGGCCGGGCTTGGGGAGTGGAAAAACTCCCAAAACCCTCTCCAGGTAATAGATGAATGTTTATGAATAGCACTGGGAGAACTCATTTTAGTACCACTGCCACACGAAAGTGCTAATTTTCACTGCCGCAATGCCAAATCTATTATATATGCAGTTTTTGCATCTATTCTCTAGCGAATTCATTTGCAAACATTTTGATATCAAATTTAGTTATAACCCAACAAATATGTAAGAAAATGTAAAAAGATTGCAACTATTTTTAGCATTGCCGAGCAGCCCAGAACATTTACAGTCTGGAGTGAGCAGACACCAGATTGCCAAGGTGTTAACATTCAAGTCAATGGAGTGAAGCAGGTGAATACACAGCTGGAGATCAACAACCACATGCATGTCAGTATACTTTTGATCATATAATTATGACACTGATAATTTTAACAAAGTTCAACTAAGGAAATAGAGGAGATATTTATACCATATGATAAATTACTAAAAAAATGAAACCATATACAGTACTCTAAAATAAGATGAACAACATAGCTGTAATGTTGGCAGCAAGAACCCACCCTGCCGTCCCAGCAATCACTTCACTGTTGGGCAACCCCCTCCCACTGACATCAGCCATCCCCCCCCAACCCTTGATCGCCCAATCCCATCACTAAACCACTGTACATTTTTCACCATAACAAAAAAAATGAAATAATTAAACTATTAATAAAGACAATGGGATACGTAACTCAATGTAGGAGAGGAAGCACTGGAAAATGGTCACTACAACCACATCTTGGATGAAACAAAGAGCTAAGGACAGCACAGAAAACATCTAAGGAACAACTCGCCACTTTAATGTTAGTAACTAGGGTGAAAATTGGGGTCTAAAAATTAATGCATGCTAGACAGCCGGTTAAGACAAGAAACAGTTAAGGGAGGAAAACAAGATGCCAGAGAGACTTCAGAGCATTAAGAAGAATAGGAATAAGAGACATAAGGCAATCTAGAGCTTTCATTAGACCAATATTGAACTATTCAACTATATGTAGCACTGGGCTGGAACCCATACCTTGAAAAGCATTAAACTAAAATTTAAAAAGTCCAGAGGTTTGCCACTAGATTAATGCCAGAGCTAAGATGGTTAAGTTATGAGGTTGAAAAAACTAGACATAACAATGTAGAGGACAGATGTAACAAATATGATCACAACATACAAGATACAGAGAGGAATAGATTGGGTGGATAAGGAGAGCTTCAGGACAAGAGGACAAGTGGAAGAAAACAAAAGGATATATACTGGCACCCTGTACTGGTGGTCAAGAATTTAAATATAGTTGTGGAAGCCATTCACAACTTTAATGGACAGATTTAAACAAATTTGAATATCATAGAAGTTAAGCTGTAATGCAACAGGTACAAGGCTAGTCATAGGTGGGGCATAAGGAGCTAGACCTCACTTTTCCAGTCACTGATAGGCAAGCACACAAAGGTCATACATACATACAGTATATTAATGTGGAACCGTGCAAAACCCGAGAGCGGAGGTTAGGGGGCTAACAGGGCAAGTAACGAGCAGATCTTCCCCAGGGACCTAGTCGGCCACCACAAAACAGAAAAAAAAGGAAGAACGAGAGATTGAAGTAGCTGTTGAATTACAAAAAGAAAACATTAAGCACAGAAAGCAGCAGGTGCATAGCAGGTGCTCTGGCATAATATCTACCAAAGCACTGTGGGGACCAACTGTAAGTGAATGAAAAGCGCTCTTTTTTTAACAGAGGGCAGTAAACAAGTGTTCACCAATGCCAGAGAAAATGCTCCCCATTCCCTCCCACCACTCTCTCCAGCCCAAAAATACAACTCATCCACACACAGTGGGCAGAAATAGACTATTTAGCATGGGTGGCACTCACACATGGGACACTGTTAGAACCCATATGCCCAAATGAACCACAGACATTAGAATTAATGTTTTCAGTCAATAGTTAACAAATGGTCACATGACATCACTTGATAGTGATGTGATGGAGGCAGACTGCATATACAATTTCAAATGTAGATATGATAGAGCCTATTAAGCTCGGAAACCTGTACACCAGTCAACTGACATAAGAGGCGAGACCAAAGACCCAAATCTTAAGAGGGTCCCCAACATATTAGGGCCAACATATGCTGTAGGAGTCACTGTATTCGCCTAATTGTACTTACCCCCATCAGCACAATTAGGAGAATACAGCATACAGTAGGCCTATTATATTGGGCATCTTATTTGTATGGCATCTCAGCAGGAAGTTGAGGAAAGCAAAGCCAAATTTGACTGCCTGGAAATGGCCAGCAAATGCCTACTCACCTCCCCAAGGCAGTACCCACGAGGGTGCCAATACAAAGAGGAATTCAATATTTATCATCATCTCTCCCTCCAACATTTCCATCATCTACAAATGTCATTCATTTACAACCAAAGCAGTCTTCTCACCATTAATCTTACATCTGCTAATCCACCAAACCAATTGAAGTAATCATTTATACAAATTTTATATTTTCCTTGAGAATGGGAAAAATAAGCCAACCTCTAGGGTAAATAAAGACATTTTTACACTAAATCACCAAAAAGAATAAATAATTTATTGGTATCATGTACAAGTTGTGTTAAGTTAAAATAGGACTTATAAAACTTAAAAGTTACTACAGGAAATTCACCCTAGATATAAGTACTGACAATGTTTTAGAACATTTGCAAACATTTTTATCCTATTCACTCATTTATAAAAAAAAACCATTAGGCAAAGATGTAAAAAATCCTGGGCACCCCTCAAATCATTCACTCATCATGTTGCCAATATTAAGCACTTTGGTAGCAGGTAGCCATGCCTATTACAATAATATTATTATGACTTCAGCTGATTGACCTGGGTATCTTCTTCAGCTGAATTCCTATTTGGATTATCAGGTTTCATGGCAGGGAAGAAGAGAACTTCTTTAATGTTATAAGAATTGGTCAAGAACATGGCAATACGGTCAATACCCATACCAAAGCCTCCAGTTGGAGGTAGACCATACTCCAAAGCTGTACAGAAATTCTCATCTACCATTTGTGCCTCATCATCACCTGCTGCCTTATCTTGAGCTTGTTGTGCAAAACGCAGCCTCTGATCTAATGGATCATTTAATTCAGTATAAGCATTGACAATTTCTTTCTTGGCAACAAAAAGCTCAAATCTTTCAGTAAGACCTTTAATTGAACGATGGTATTTGGCAAGCGGACTCATGACTTGTGGGTGGTCCATGATAAATGTTGGACTAATGCACTGCTCCTCCAAAAAATGTCCTACTAGCTTGTCCAAGAGTCGGGCAGATGTACGAGGGGCTGGACACTCTATACCATGTTTTTCACAGATGTCACTTAGTATTTTGCATGCTGCTTCTGTGTTCAGCTCATCTGGGGATGGCAATTTTGTATCAAGAGCCTTCTCAAGCTCAGGGAACATATGTAGTCTTTTATAAGGGGGTTTGAAGTCTAGTTCCCATTCTTCACCCTCTGGGCCTTGTGGATGGAATTTTATTTTATAAGAATTAAAAATGCTGAACACCATCCCAGATATTAACTTCTCTGTCAATTCAATTAAGTCATTATAGTCTGCATAGGCCATATAAAACTCAAGGGTTGTGAATTCAGGATTGTGAGTAAGATCAATACCTTCATTTCTGAACTGCTTTCCAATTTCATATACTCTATCGATTCCTCCAACAATAAGCATCTTCAGATAGAGCTCTGGAGCGACCCTCAAGAAGAGATCCATATTAAGTTCATTATGGTGGGTTATAAAAGGCTTTGCAGTTGCTCCTCCAGCAATCATATTCATCATTGGTGTTTCCACCTCCAAGAAACCCAAATCATCAAAGAATTTACGAGAATAAGAGATAATGTTGGATCTAACAATAAATTTTTTACGAATATCAGAATTGATTATAAGATCTAGGTATCTCTGTCGATATCTTGTTTCTTGGGCTTTGACACCAAAGTGAAGATGTGGTAACATATGAAGGCATGGAGCAAGGACAAATATCTTTGTAGGTCTGATGGACAACTCTCCTGTCTTGGTACGGATACCAATACCTCTCACGCCAATAATGTCTCCCCGGCGAACTTTATCACAATCTTGGAAGAAGTCTGTCTCATTCTCATAAAACCTTAGATTTGCCATAACCTACAAAGCAAAAAATTATATAAATAACAAAATAGCACAGTATTACTATTCCTGAAACCAAACCTACATATTGTCACCTAACTAAGAACACCTTCAACAGCCAATTTTTAAAACAAAAATCAGATTTACCTTTTTCAAGTCTTCTAAGTTATTTCTAGCAAAATACAGTATTAGGATACCAGGAGCTGAGCATACTCTATACACCCCTAATCTTGTATGTCAGTGTGCTCCACAATCATTTATTAAAGCTTCTTACATTTAATTTCTTTAATCTTAATCACATCTTGCAAAATATCTGCTTAAATACACGTGACTATACTATCAATACTTTACTCTAGTAACAGTAAATCCATGTGTGTATGAATATGAAGCAAGTATACCAAATGAATGTTATAAAGAATAATAAAAATAAGATATATAAATAAAAGCTCTTAAGGACTAGTATTCATCAGTCTTTATAGATATGAAGGCTACTGTATATATATTTGTCTGCTATATACAATAAAAACACAAAAATGGTATGTCATATCATAGAAACAGGCCACAGTACTTGCATCCCCACTAACAAAACCTAACATTTACTTTTAGTACTGGGATACCACCAATATGGGATGTAAAACGAATCCCTCAAGATATGAAACCAATTAGATTATGGAGATGAATACCCTTGTTTTCTGCTACTGTACTGTATATAGCACATGTTATATGAAAGCTTTATATAAACAAAGCAATTTCCTTTAACCAACCTTAAATGAGATCCACAAATACCAAACTATATAATAAATCTGAAGATCCAGGACTAAGGCATTAGGATGATACATAATGTACATAAAACACTGCTTTTAAGACTAATTTTGTTGCTTAAAAATCCTCAAAAACCTCCACCAGTATTGAACCTATATTTACAACTGAAGGTTCATACACGGAGGATGACGAAGAAATTAGTGGAATCCTAAATGACCAGTATGAGGATATGTTTAGGACCTCAGTAAACAACCTGATAGAGGAAGATCTGACAGCTTCTTTATGAATGACATCCAAACCCGAGACAATACAACTGATATTAACACAAACACATTAGTCTTTTGAAAGAGAAATTGGCAACATGCCCATGCACTCAGCCCCAGGTACCAATTCATGGAATTCAATATTCATAAAGAAATGCAATATACCAATAGTATGGGCACTCAAGTGTAATATGGAGAGAGAGCTAGGATACAGGGGAAAACCATCAATGCATAAATCAGTAGCTACAGCTCCACTACACAAGATAGTAAAACTTGGGGAAAAACTACACAACAAAATACAAGTTTTTGAAAGTGATTAGAATCAAGTATCAAGTTTTATGGAACACAATGAACATCACAATCCAGGTCAACATGGATTTAGAGCGGGAAGATCTTGTCTTTCACAATTACTCAACCACTATGACAAATCACAGAAGCATTAGAAGAAAAACAAAATGCAGTAATTGTATACGCAGACTTTGCAAAGGCATTTCACAAATGTGACCATGGAATGATAACCCATAAAATGACCATGGAATGATAGCCAGACCAATCAGCCTGCAGTAGATGTGCAAGCTTGCGGGTAGCTGCAAGCAACAGACTTTTGGACCACGTTATTTTAAGTCTAGCCTGGCCCCAGGCTAGGGTCAGGGAGTAGAACTACCAAGACACTCCAGATTAGATCTGATGAAAGCCATGTACTGTATTGTATAATTAACTGGAGCCAAACTTGCTGAATGTAACTTCAGCAGCAGAAAGATAAATATGATAAATTGAAGTAATGGTTATACATAACACTAAGTCATACATACAGCCTGCCTGAACTTAGAAGAGAGCCTGCCTCAGAACGTTTCCAAAGGCAGATTTACAACTTTGATGAATTGCCGAAACAATTTGGTGAAGAAATCACACTTTTCTAAAAGGTTTACAGGTTTATTGGACATATTTAGCATCTGACTAATCTGAGGAGCTCAGTTTCAAAAGGAAATGAAAGAGCTGAAAGCACATTATGCCAACGAAGATGACAATATATTTGTGATTTTAGAAATAATTCCAGGACTATCCTGGAGCTTCTGGCTGTGTACTGAGCTCTGGACAATGTTTGGATTCACCTGGCTCTATCAAAATACATTCACTTTCACAAATCTGCTAAAATCAAAGTAGAGCCTGCATTAGTGATGTTAATCTAGAATCGAACAAAATTCATAACCCTGAACCAGTTCCCATAGGAGCATGTTGTAAATGGGTGATCCATTCCTGGACTACCAGACACACACACACACACGTAAAAGTCCACTTTTTAGGACAGTATAAAAAAAAATTTTTTACTTCCCTTGAATGATGAAATTACCCTGCTTCTCTAATTTCATATTTTTTGAAGAACAAATCGGTATAATCTAAAGAAGAAGAAAATAAAACGATCTTGATACATGGGTGAACCATCAACACTTTCCATATCAACCTTCATTGAGGAAGGTTTCCTTGATAAACAACTGCAATAGTGCATACACTGTTTGTAATGTGGGTACCTCGGAACAGAAATGATTCATATAGCAGGACATAAGGAATAAAATGAGGACTGAGGACATTCATAAGTCCTACTTTACCAAAATGAGAGAGAAGACAAGACAAAAACAGGCAGACCCCCACACAAAGATTCCTGATCATATGGCCCAGTACTGAAAAACTGACTCCTCTACTCTAAAGCATCAAGTGTAAGAGCATATCTTTAGCTAGTAAAGTTGTTACTAGATCACAGTCCTAGCATTGCTAATTAAAAGAAATTGTCTTTGAGCATATGTTAAAGCCCAATCCTTAACTCACTGCTGGTTCTTCACACTGGACCACCTATACCCTGGATGAAAAGCACCTATCCAAATCACGGATATGTTAAACCTAGCAGATAGGATTCCATCAGTTCAGGAAGAATTCAAGGACTCAAAAAATTTGTGAATAAAGAACAGGAAAGGAGAGTACAGTATACAAAATAGAAACTGAACATACTCACAAGCAGAATAATACAGAGATTAAGGGAACAGAAGGCATAATAAAATTTAAACAAATTAAATTAATGTAGCTTATAGTAAAGGCTAAGATATAGTTCAGTACATGCCAACAACTGGAGATTTTATATCTAACCTGTATTTTTACACCTTCTCCACGCAAGTCATAAAACCGAAGTTTCTGACTACTTTCTCGGATGGCATGAATTCTGCCAGCCAGCATCACTTCTTCATTCCCTTCTTCTCCTTGCCCCAAGCTTTCGTAAGTTCTTAGGAATTCTGTGAGGGAGGACGACACATGGAACTTATGAGGATAGACGTTCTTGCCTTCATCTTTCTGCTGTTGTACATACTGAGTCCTCAGCTTCAGGTACTCATTAGCACTGATTTCCTCTTCATTCACCTGAAATTACTCTATTGTTATTCTCCTACATCTGTACATCTAAAGAAAACAACCAAACAAATTTGATTAGTTTCACATTTTTTTTAACGTTCATACAAGTATTATCTGCAGTAACTACTGTACAGTAATTTAATATCTATGGAAAAAATGCTCAAATTATATTCTTAGCCCAGGTCTTTTAAATCAGCATCAAGTAAATAATAAACATTAAAACTTTTTCAAAAACGACAAATTTAGTTTTTAAAATAAATTTGAATTTGCAAAATGAATAGATTGCAGTATTTCATTCAAACTTATTTGATGTCACACTTAAGCTAGCTTATGATTATTTACAACATTTACTTTATCTTAAAGTAGATATTTCCCATGATTCACAAAAATAAAGCACTAAAATTTCATTAAATTGTTTAACTTGAAAAACTTGCAATACATTCTTGGATCCTACATGTCTGTTATAATTGCAGATACAGTATTTTTTTGTTAGCTACTATAATAAAAATATGAATAATTTGAAATTACTGCATTCAAATTTCCATTCATAAAAGTTAAAGAGCTACATTCTGAACTGCCGACGCTGTTGCTTGCTGGAGCAACAGCATTCGTCTTCCTTTGGAAGGCATTATATGTTGCCAGGAAACTAAACAATCCTTTTCTCTGTGACTAAGAACCTCTCCATAACGAGAAAATGGGCAAGATAAAGAGTCAAGATCATTCTATATAGCCAAGAATGACTGCTAAATTTCACATGTAAAAAATCACCACTCTGCTAGATAAGCCACCTAGTCACTTCCCCAAATTAATTAATCTTTTAGCTCAACATCATCTTTATCAAAATAAGGCACACCAGAGCCCTTAAATTTTTAAGGAACACAAATATCTTGTAAAGCACAGTACTGATATAAAAGCCTTTAAATAAACAAATCTACCAGTTAATTGTTTTAGAACAAAACAAATTTGAGAAAATTGAAAATTAATATTTGGGAGCCATGTGACAATTTAAGCCTCCAGCTGCTTGTAACGACTGTATTCCTAATATGCCATCATCAGGTTTAGTTTAACTTAAAAGAATTTCATTCTTACCTTCTTAGGCTTAGCTGTCTCATTTGGTTGATCTGCATTACCAGCAATTTTCTCAGCCTTTTCCTGTGCTTTCTTTTCAGCCTTCAGTCTTCTCTTCAGCTCACTAGAAGTATATCCAGTATATTAAATTACAGTGGTACCTTGGTTTACGAATTTAATCCGTTCCCAGAGACTGGCGAGTTCCCAGTAACTCAAAATTCGTAACCCAAAACCAATTTTCCCATAAGAATTAATGTAAATTGAATTAATCTTTTAGTTCCCACTCCCAAAAAAATTTACTTCAAAATACATTTAATACATAATATACACACACATTTTGTACTATAGTATGTACAAGTAATAGCTTACCCTAATTGATGACTTGTTGGCATACGGAAGACAGTGAGGAGGGGGGGGGGGGAGGGGGAGAGAGGTGTTACTGTTTGGAAGGGAAGTCCCCCTTCTATTATAACATCAGGCAGTGATGGCTGCTCTGGGGTACTCTCTCTCCTATGTTTTGCAGGCATACCACTAGGACCTGGTTGTGGCTCACTGCTTGTTTTCTCACTAAGAACATGAACCTGTTGATCTAGGTTCATGTTGAACCTAGATCAACAACCCGCACACCATCTTCATGTTTACGAATGATCTCTTGTTTTGCATCTATGGTTATCCTCACATGTTTTCTTAGGTTGAACGTTACCACTGACTTTTTTGGGACCCATGGCGTGATATATAATAACTACTTTTAGGTTCAAAAACGAAAAAGCACAAAAACGATAAAATTCTTTGCAAGGAATTCAAGCATGATCGTCACTAAGCGAGCGGTCTGGTAACACGAAGCAGGTACACCCGTGCCACCAGGAACCATGCACTCAGTCGACCCAATACGTGTCAACAAAGTCATAAGTCAAGGCAAAGGTCGTAACCCCAGTTCGAATTTTCCAACGAAATTGGAGTCATAACCCAAAAAATTCGTAAGTAGGGGCGGAACGAATTAAATTCGTTAATCGAGGGCCCCTCTGTATTTATGGAAAAATTAGTTTCGGTTTATGACCTGTTTTTGGGAACGGATTAAATTTGAAAACGAAGGTACCACTGTACATAAATAAGGAATCTTCTGATTCAGTTCACTATCTTGTACTGTACAATATTTGGTTGTTTTACATCACCAGTCACCGAGAGGATGAGTGAAACACCTCAAGCAGCAAATTCCTATTGGGAGACTTAAACATTTGTTTTAAAACACAGTTTACATTATAATCATCCAGCCTCTCCTGACTGAGAATGAAACACAAACATCACAGCACTGTACTCATCTCATGTAATCACCTCAACAAACACATACAATTTAAAAGTACAGTACTGTACTTAAACTTCAAAGTTGCTTTAACTAGAATTTGCTGCTTTTCAATGCTCCACCCACCTACTGGTAGAGTAAGACAGGAAAGGACTGCTGAGGTGGACACCTTCCAGCCACGAGGACGGCCGGCCTCTGGTCCCCAGCCCTCGAGCAGCCTCCAAGGCCACTACTGCTCTCCACCCAATTGACAAAAGTTTTGTCATCCTTCCTAATACTCTACCTGGAACAACTGATATTAATCATATGAATTCTATTTCTTATGGCTAAAATTATAATATAACTTTTTTCCCCAGAAAGTTTGAATGATCTTGACAAAGTAACTAAATTCAACATGAACAACAAGTACAATACAATAATACAGTACTGTAGATGTACTATTGAACAATAAAATTTTTATAACAATTTTAGTATCCTAAAAAATTATATGAAAGTCAATATACTCTATTTGCCTTTCAAAAACAAATTTTATTTAGGCAACTCAATCCAGCTTGTAGAGGCCACTATAGAGGTCGCTCTACCAAACTCCATCATTGAATGCCTGGATGGTCTGAACTGTTTGTATTAACTGCAAATTGTTCAGTGGAACAAACAAATGTCTTCCAGTCAGGATTGGTCACCTAAACTGCTGAAGTCTGGCAGTCGGGCCTATCTTGAGGTTATCTTGAGATGATTTCGGGGCTTTAGTGTCCCCGCGGTCCGGTCCTCGACCAGGCCTCCACCCCCAGGAAGCAGCCTGTGACAGCTGACTAACACCCAGGTACCTATTTTACTGCTAGGTAACAGGGGCGTGAAAGGGGTGAAAGAAACTCTGCCCATTGTTTATCGCCGGCGCCCGGGATCGAACCCGGGACCACAAGATCACAAGTCCAGTGTGCTGTCCACTCGGCCGACCGGCTCCCAACTGGCCTAGCTGGTTGTACAAAAACTCTCATGCAACAAATTGCCCCCCCCCTCTTTAATTCATTTCACAGCTTATTTATCATATTAAATATTTAAGCAATCCATGTAATATCACCAGTGGATTGCATAAATTTAACAATGATATTGCAGGTCGGCCCCACGGCTGCCGCACCTGCCGGTCGGCCCCACGGCTGCCGCACCTGCCGGTCGGCCCCACGGCTGCCGCACCTGCCGGTCGGCCCCACGGCTGCCGCACCTGCCGGTCGGCCCCACGGCTGCCGCACCTGCCGGTCGGCCCCACGGCTGCCGCACCCGCCGGTCGGCCCCACGGCTGCCGCACCCGCCGGTCGGCCCCACGGCTGCCGCACCCGCCGGTCGGCCCCACGGCTGCCGCACCCGCCGGTCGGCCCCACGGCTGCCGCACCCGCCGGTCGGCCCCACGGCTGCCGCACCCGCCGGTCGGCCCCACGGCTGCCGCACCCGCCGGTCGGCCCCACGGCTGCCGCACCCGCCGGTCGGCCCCACGGCTGCCGCACCCGCCGGTCGGCCCCACGGCTGCCGCACCCGCCGGTCGGCCCCACGGCTGCCGCACCCGCGGGTCGGCCCCACGGCTGCCGCACCTGCCGGTCGGCCCCACGGCTGCCGCACCCGCGGGTCGGCCCCACAGCTGCCGCACCTGCCGGTCGGCCCCACAGCTGCCGCACCTGCCGGTCGGCCCCACGGCTGCCGCACCCGCCGGTCGGCCCCACGGATGCCGCACCTGCCGGTCGGCCCCACGGCTGCCGCACCTGCCGGTCGGCCCCACGGCTGCCGCACCCGCCGGTCGGCCCCACGGCTGCCGCACCCGCCGGTCGGCCCCACAGCTGCCGCACCTGCGGGTCGGCCCCACAGCTGCAGAGGAGCAGAGTAATTTTTTTATTTTTTACATCTGCCTGGCTGATGTATACACAGTAACATGTGCCTACATCTCCACGGACCTGACTCTTGAGCCTAGGGCGGCTTGGGGAACAAACATGAGTCACACTACACCAGTTGATTGACAGTTGCAAGGCGGGACCAAAGAGCCAAAAACTCAACCCCCGCAAGCACACCTAGGTGAGTACATAGTTGCACCACGAACACTGCCCCTGACCAGGTGTGGCAGCTAAACATGAGGAGCCAGGAGCTGAAGCCCGGCCCGGGAGGCAGGTCAGCCCGGACACGAGGCCCCGCCAGGCGCCGCCTCTCACACACTCTACACCGCTATACTGCGACATGTAACAGTCCACACAACATGCACCACTCTATAAACTTGTAATATAGAGGCAACAAGTAAGGAAATACTTCAGTGTTAAGTCATAAAAAGCTTACTTCTTGGAGAGCTTCTCCTGGCCCACGTCCGCCATGGTCGGCTGTGTTGTCCCTCTGAACCTTCGACTTCCTCGCCTCTTCCTCCACTCAAACTCTTATTATGACTATCTAATAAAAATAAATACTGATTAAAATTTTACTATAATGATAAAATTTATAAGGCGTAGCCAATGTTGTATTAATCCACGGTTAATTTTTACATTAAGTCGATTAGATATAATGACGTAAGACGGCAGCGACCTGCCAGCGCGGGAAAAGTTGCTCTGCATTCAAGAATTTTATATTATTTCATTCATAAATTTCATAATATATTTAATATAGTAAATGCTTACAAATTGTCATCAATCATTATTCATATCTTCTATTTTATGATATTTCATATATGTAGATATTTTACAACATCATAAAATTATATATATAGTATTGTAATTGCAAAAATAACATATACTAAGGCTCCCTGATTGACGATAGTGTATTTGGTTGTCATGGTAACGAGGACGCGCTCGCTCGGTCCGTGGTCAACTTAACACTGTATTGTCTTTTGTTGAATTTCTTCTTTCAGTTCTTGGTCTTCTACAACAGTAATCTTGAAAAGAGGTAAAAATTATCCAGTAAAACTGTAAACATCACATGGATCAACGAAACGGTTTATGACAGAAGGAATTTAAATAGATGTATTGGCAATATCAAGGTAAGATTTCATCATTTAAGTTGAAGTCGACCTTAAGAAAGGCATGACAAAAATATTAAAATAACGAATACAATATGATATAGCAAACTACTGCTTTAATAGACACTATATATATATACTATGTATAAAGCAAAAACTTCATATATATGTAAGAAGGAAATTAAATACATTTATTGGCAATATCACGGTAAGATTTCATCATTTAAGTTGAGGTCGACCTTGAGAAAGGCATGACAAAAATATTAAGATAACGAATACAATATGATATAGCAAACTCCTGCTTTAATAGACAATAAATATATACTAAGTATAATGCACTGTATAAAGCAAACACTTCATATATATGTAAGATTGCATAACGGCATGCAAGACTGCTCTACTATAGTTTATGAAAACAATATTAATATTTGATTATATATTACCCTTCAAACTGTATCACAGAACGTGGCCTATAACGAATATAATAATGTATCTGGGTAGATATACTTTGCTGTGAGAGCTCAATATCTTATCCAATATATAAAACCGGGTAATAAAGCACCGTATTGAGCATATAGTTTTTTTGGTTCTGCATTGGTTTGCAATACAATATATGCGCTGTGTACTGTATTTACCAGTACAATACATTAATCTTTAGTTTTACATTCTCATAAAATTCATTAAGGTGGTAATTCTAAACATATGATCTATACCTTGTTAAAGTACTCTACTTGGTTTTGAGTGCCTCCAGCTTACTATGGAATTGACTTAGCCGCCTATACTGAATACACACTCTCCTCATATTGTGTTGTATTGATTCTTTATCAAGATTTATGAGGCTAGTGGCGCACACCTTCTACCAGCACATCAGAAAGTGAAGACCCACCAACACCGGGCGAGGTGCTATAGTGCTTTGAGTGTGTGAGTGTGGCAGTGTGTGAGTGTGGCAGTGTGTGAGTGTGTGAGTGTGGCAGTGTGTGAGTGTGGCAGTGTGTGAGTGTGGCAGTGTGTGAGTGTGGCAGTGTGTGAGAGTGTGTGAGAGTGTGTGAGAGTAATGAGTGATGAGTGGGGAGTGGAGGTGCGGGCCCTCGCCTCCCTCCTGAGGTCTGACGAGGACGAGGACGACGAGGACGAGGACAATACTCACTCTGCCGTTGCAGGTGAGCACTCTCAAGTTGTACACCTCTCAGGAACTCCATGGCATATTTAGTTAGGAATTAAACATAATACCAACCTTTATATTTGTTCCCAAATCCATTAAAATTGCATTTGAAACATAATGAAAGGAGTAATACTTATCAGGAAAAGAATTAACAAGGTTACCCCTGTGAGGGCAGACCTAACTCCGGGTGACCTGGCTGTTAGCACCACCTCCGTCATCAGCAGTGGGTCAAAGGGCACCAGGTCTTCGTCTCAGGTCACCAGGTCTTCGTCTCAGGTCACCAGGACGTCAGCCGAGGTCAACATTGATCACCCTGACCTACTAGGTTAGTCACCGTTTCCGAAATTACATAATTGCCTTTAAGTAAGTAACATGATGTATGATGTATAGTTTAATGTATAGCCAGCATGACTATACACATTTATTATGAAACACTTAAGAACAATTATTTGTAGAAATGTCTATGGAAAACATATTATTTAGTGTAACCCCAAAAGTTAACTTAATGGCGTTGTGTCTTGTGTATAATTAATACTGGTACTGTGCACTGGTTAATTTGTGGGACAATTAAGATAAAATATATAATTCACAAAATAATACAGTACATGCAAATTGTCTAGAAATACAACTACATCAACGAGGAGAAAAATATAAATTTTAGCATCAAATTAAATTATTTCAAATAAGTATTCTTGGTTAGGCTATCAATTTAAGGTTTGATCAGCGGCCAAATGATACCATCACAAGCGTGTTGTGGTCCAGTTGTACGGCTCAGTATGCTGCCTTGTGTGACCTCCAGCATGTGTAACCCCACAGGTGACATCTGGGAGGTGGAGGAAGTAAGACCAGGTCATTGTTGGGAGGAGAGTGACCCTCGACCTCCACCCGAGTACCAGGTCACCTTCAGGCACCAAGTGTCTGCCAGCCATGTCTTTCTTCCGGTATGTGTGCATACATGTATATGTGTCTATTTTATAGTATGAATATGTGTATAAGTGTCAATTTGTAGTATGCATATAATACAGTATAGATATGTGTAAACGTAATTTACCTGAAGGTTACTATCTCTCTAGTGGCCTTTGACAGGAAGCCGGCAGCTTGTCAAAGGTCCCCATATTTGATCTAATGATTTTACAGAGCTGTATCATAAATTGCAAGTGTTTTGGCATTTACGACTTCGACGGGTAGGCGGTTCCATGGGTTCACAACCCTATGGGTGGAAACAACATTTTATGTTTTCTGTTCTACATTGTGGCTTGTTCTTGAAACCATTACCACTTGTTTCTGTTATATCTGGCCTTTTAAAGAAATAGTCTGAGCCTATATCCTCCAGAGTGGTCAGTACTGTAATTTTGAATGAAATCAGCCCTGTAACATCTGGGTTACAGTGCTGGAGGCTGTATACTGAGGCCCTCAAGCGTTCCTGATATGAGAGTCGACTTAGTTCTGGAATAAGATTTGTCGCCCAGTGTTGAACTTCCTCCAAAGCAGATATGTACTTCTGAAGATGAAACGCTGTGCGTACTAGTGGCTTTACAAGATTGTAAATACTGTACTATGCTATGTATTCTCACAAACCCAATGCACCTTCTTGTAAATAAATAAATAAATAAATAAATGAGGTCTGCATGCTTGGATACAGTGTAGTGAGTAGATTATCCCAATAATATACTCGCTCCAACAGTAATCCAAGTACGGGCACCAGAGATTTATACAATTGAATAACTACCGTCATTTACACGAATTCAAAGTGTATAATGTGTTGCAGGTGAGCGTGGCGGGCGTGGAGGACGTGGTGGTGCGGGTGGTGCTGCCGGGGACACTACTGACGGAGGTCACCCTCGAGGTAACCTCCACTACCCTTCGCCTCGCCTCCCCCGCCCACTACCTCCATATCCCTCTACCACGCCCAGTCCTCCAGCGCCAGGGTGTGGCCAGCTGGGACCCCTCCACCCACACCCTCACTGTCACCCTCCCGACCGCCCACAGCCCTCACCTCACGCCCACTATAATAAACTGAGTGTCGTGGGCGTGCCACGAGGACGAGTAGCGAAGCAGTCGGAAGCACTTTAGAGATTTTACCTTTGCGGTTCATGCCAAATTATTAAGTTTATTTAAAGTTTGTTGACACGTCTATTGAAGATTTTTAAAAATGCTTTGATATTTGCTAAGAAATATTGTTATTAATTAGAGCTTTACGTAAAGTTATCATGTGTTACATTTTAAGGCATAAAACTTATTTTTATTACACATTAATGTGCGTGACAAAAGTTATATTGTAGAATATTCTATATACGCTTTAGATATGTATACACTATTTACTGTCGATGTGTTTTGTTTGTAATATAATATATAATTATATATTACCTAAGAGCCACAATCTGTCTAGTGGCTTCGACGGGGACAGGAAGCTGTGGGCTTGTCAAAGGTCACCCCCATTGATGCTCAGGATTTTTTCCAACTTGATTTTGAACCGAAATAATGTTTTGACATTTACGGTTTCGACGGGTAAGCGATTCCATGGATTTATAACCCTATATATACAGTATACTGTAGTATATTTAATGTATTTTATTTTCAACAATTTCCAATCAGTTACATTTGGGTAAGAATTTAAGTACAATTTTACCTAATATGGCGTGTAGTATAGGTGTTATATAAATGTTATTTAATAGGATTGTTCTATGAAGTTTAAAGAGGCTTTCTTTGGTAAAGGACGATTTATATTTAGCAAGAGCTGGGTACACTGAACAAGAGCTCAGTACATTACATAAGAGTTGGATACATTCAACAAGAGTTGGGTACATTCAACAAGAGCTGGGTACATTCAACAAGAGCTGGGTACATTCAACAAGAGTTGGGTACATTCAACAAGAGCTGGGTACATTCAACACAAGCTGGGTACATTCAACACAAGCTGGATACATTCAACAAGAGTTGAGTACATTCAACGAGAGCTGGGTACATTCAATAAGAGCTGGGTACATTCAACAAGAGCTGGGTACATTCAACAAGAGCTGGGTACATTCAACAAGAGCTGGGTACATTCAACAAGAGTTGGGTACATTCAACAAGAGTTGAGTACATTCAACAAGAGCTGGGTACATTCAATAAGAGTTGGGTACATTCAACAAGAGCTGGGTACATTCAACAAGAGCTGGGTACATTCAACAAGAGTTGGGTACATTCAACAAGAGCTGGGTACATTCAACACAAGCTGGGTACATTCAACAAGAGCTGGGTACATTCAACAAGAGCTGGGTACATTCAATATGAGCTGGGTACATTCAATAAGAGCTGGGTACATTCAACAAGAGCTGGGTACATTCAACAAGAGCTGGGTACATTCAACACAAGCTGGGTACATTCAATAAGAGCTGGGTACGTTCAATAAGAGCTGGGTACATTCAACAAGAGCTGGGTACATTCAACAAGAGCTGGGTACATTCAACACAAGCTGGGTACATTCAACACAAGCTGGGTACATTCAACAAGAGCTGGGTACATATAAGAAAGGTGGACTGGACTTCACTGCCCCACCCACCATGAAGCCCAACAAGGTCAGGCAAAAATCATATAGGCCGGTAACCCGGGGTTACCATTGGAGGATCTGAAGTGTGTCCCAAGGACCAATAGGGATACCAACCCTGCAGTGTCCACTTGACCTGATGTCTTATTAAGTGGGCTAACTTTAAGAGCCAGTTGATTGAAGTGGGTCACACTGAACCTCCCATTTTACCCTGGTCCCTCAATCAAAGCAGCATGTTGCCCCCTAGATGCAGCAGCCACTGGTAGGATCAACCACAAGATGGGGGAACATAGAGGAATATGGAGCTAACACACAAGCGGGCATTTCACTTGTGCACCATCATGCCAGGCTGGAGAGGGAGGAAGGAGCCACCCTGACTCATGGGTGGTGCACAAGAGTCCCCCTCTTCCTTCCCTCACCTTGTTAAGAGCCACTCATTGAGGGGGTAGCAAAGATGTGATTGGCCTTACAAGTCAAACTCAACTGCTCTTTCAAATCATCCCCTCCCACTTTCCCACCATGCTAAAGTGGCAACCTTTAAGGAGGCTTCAGCAACATTATTTATACCATCACTCATGAGAATTTCAGCTTTAAATTCGGCTATACTGTATTACTATTAACGAAGATAAATGTCATAGAATTTAATGTTTAATTGAAGAATAAATATGGCTCGAAAACAGTGTTATGAATTATCAATTTAAACAGCAAGTGCTGTGCACAGGGAGTAACAAACACGTGGTGTAGAAAAACTTTTAATAATTTATTAAATCTTAACAAAATACAACAATAATCCACCACTGAAAACATAATAGTAAAAAATAAAAGCAATGATGTTCTTACAACAGCAAATTTCATAAAAGCATAAACAAAATACAAGTAATTTAGCTAGTTTTGTGCACTACACCACCATCTCCGGAAGACTCCTCCAAAGATGCTTCTTATATTACATTCCAAAAAGAAATCAATTTTATCAATAGTAAACCACTGACTAAAATATAAAATATTTTATAAAATATTTATTTTAGCTCACTGTGGCTAAAATATAAACCTACCCTATCACTGTTGTATACTTCAAGGAAAAAAAAAATAACTCGTTAATCCTGATAAAAATATGATCACAATAGGAAATAAACACGGCTAAACCTCAACCAAACAATGGAAACTCCACTTGGAAAATGAGCAAAACATGAAGAATTAGTCGTACAGAATGTTAATAGTCAAGCACACAAGCCCTGAATCATCCTGTAAAACAAGTACAGTACAGTAGTTATGAAGACAGTAACTTAAGGTACTGAAACCATAACCTCTAATAGTCAATTTCATGTTTATTCAACTATTTACTTCAGGTCTTAAATCTGATACAATCTAATCTATATTTTATTAACAATTAAACTACCCTAGTCCAAAGAAGGCAATTGTAGGAGGATTAATTGTGGGACCTTGAATGTTAATTAAAATACAAATAAATAATAATGGAGAGAGAAAGCCACAATATAGTGGCTTAATAGAGTGCCTCACATAGTGAGACTCAACAACCACTGCATTTGCAACAATCTCAATGAATAATCATGGTTGATGTAGTTTTCAAAACTGGAAGCATTGTGTAATGGTAATACTGGTAAGTCAAGTTCTCCATTCACTTTTAACAAATGACCAAATCCTTAACAGGACTTTTGAATACCTGCTTTTGAGTAATAATCACAAATACATTGTATCTACTGGAAAATGTGCTGTATCACTTGAACTAAATGTTCAAAATTACATATAACCGAGATGCATATACTGCACTGTGATGCACATCTTACAAACTAATCAGATATTTGCAAATTTCATTTCTAACAATGCATTTAGAAAATACAGCAGGCTGAACTTGTCACTTCTGTACCAAACACCGGCACATACCTCTTAAGAACTTGAGGTAAATAAAGAAGCAAATGTGGAAAATCCGGTTAAGTGTAGAGCCAATGTGGCTTTTTGTATAACTGGATCAAGTGTTACACTGTGTAACAATCCTGACCGAGTCGCTTCTTAAACCAACTCATTCAGAAATGATAAGTTATGACATCAGCAGCAGCTTACAGCAGCTTACAGCAGCAAATAAATTTCAGCTATTTCAGGAAGACACTTTGAAAGATGAATTCAACAATCTCAAAGTCAGATCACAAGTGTATTTAATTGAATTTCTTGGTCTTTATGTATAAATCTCACCAGAAAGAAAACATTATTTTTATTAAAAAAATAAATGCTTAAAACTCCATTAAAACTTTTTTTAAATGGACACTATAAAAGCAATATTTTCAAAATATATTTCAGAAGATATCTTTCAGCTCCTGAGATCTTAAAATCCAGCAGTTTAAGCACTTGAGCTCAATAAAACTTCTTGGCCTGGGCTTCTTTATTATCTCTGCAAGGAAGAAAATGCACATAAGAAAGGTTATACAGCCTGAAAAGTACTCCTAGCCCCCATATAACAATTACCAATATTACCATACTTCATATCTTGTCCAACATAGCATCATAATATTTAGGTTTTGTGGCAGTGCATCCTTTATATCAAAGTGAATTTATACTTTGAGTCCCAACACTTTAATCAACAATTATTAATAAAATTCTTGATCAAAAAAGAAAAATAGAGAATAACAAGTGACTATGATTTAGTTTAAGAATTCTGTATTTAAGAGAAAAGCAAGAATGTTGCTTGTGCCTACTCCAACAAACTGGAAGATCCAGCCAGATGTAAATGACACATTTTTATCAAACAGTTTTGAGATTGGAAACAGATGGATAAACACACACACACAAACACACACAAAGGCAATATCTTTTATTATTTCTGCTCAAAAGTTACATTCAAAGGAGGAAAGGTATAATTACAGAAAAAACGGCAACGTCAGGAAGCAAATTGAGCTATTAAATAATGATTAGACTTGAGAGCATTAAAGCAATCAGCATATATATCTAGAATGATCACACAACTGATGATATTAATATGAAATAAATTATATTGCACTGTCTTTAGACAGGATTAACTCTTCAACTGCATGACACAACCAGGGATGATCTCGCTAATTTGTAAGCTGCGTGACAGTCAAATATGTTTTAAAGTACCACACAAGATATAAAACATTTGTGGGTACACGTGGCTCACATTCACTTCTTCAGGCTTCCAGTAAACAGACGCCATCTTGGTAAAAATAAATTGTGGTCACTCCTCCTGAGTGCGAGGGGCCTCTACTGAAAGTGCGATCATGAGTAGCACACAGCAGCTGCTCGCAGCACTATCATGTAAGTCATGGCCACAGCATCATTTAATAATGATGAAATAAAGATTTGCAATTATTTATGATAGCATCATAGAAGATCCTGTTTGTGATAAAGACTATGTACAAGGTTCAGATATAACAGTGAAATCAATTCTGGTTATGATGTTCACGGCACAAGGCACACATCAATAGCAGCAAGCAGAATCTATACATGAAATGGTACCTCATGGTTCCTTTAAAATATGAATTTGTGGGAATTATTAATATTCAGGAGTCTGTGACCTGGTTTCTGATAATAATAGTAGTGTTGTGGCAAGAGTTAATGATGTGTGTAGTACAGTATATCAACAGACCTTGAAGGCACTATAAACTACTTCGCAAAAATGCGATAAGGCTAGTTTAATATTCTTATCATGCCAATGCATATAGAATTAAGTTATATTCTGTTAAATTTGCTCATTACATATTGTAAAGTCGAAATTATATTAACTCAGCAATGAGAATGTGACAAAAAGTTTCGTTGTGTTGCACTATGTCTTCGTACTCTTAATACCTCTAGCATCCAGTCTCATCATTGTCTCGCTCTCTAAACCAAGGGGTGGCCAACCTGCAGCCTTTTTTGGTACTTAAGGTAGCCTTCGAAAGCAATTTAAATTAATTAAATTTGATCTTTAAGTTTGTTCTCAAAGTATTAGAATGTATACAGTGCACAATACACTGTACAGCATTATGAAATCTTTGCTCAACAAAATGTGGTTTTCCTACGACAAGGTTTCCCATCCTTGTTCTAAAACAACGGAAAATCTGTTAGTTCCTCCCGATAAATAATTTTCATTAATTAATGCTATTTTTTCCATGCAATTACAGGGGTTTTAGCACTCGGTTGGGTTATAGGAAAACCTAACTTACTCTCATAAAAAATACTAGTTGAAGTGCTCATGATGTGATGAAAACCATCGAACCAAGCAGCCCTCTGAGCCCTCACTGCTGTTTCTACACAAAAGTTCATTATAACATTATTACTAATTATCTGTATGTTACTAAAATACATATTCATTAAATAAAATTTATGATTGCAGTACATTATTAGATTCTTAATCGACTGCTACCTAGTGACCCGATAAAAAAGTACTAGTTTGTTCAAAAGGCCTTTGAACACCAGTGTAGCCTGAACAGTTTAAATTCTTAACTCAATATCGCAAAAAACTGAATTAGAAGATTTCTGCCTTTTCTTATAATTAATAGTTCTACCAAATAAATTTTAACCAAGTCAAGACTAAACCGATGATTACCATGTGTCATCCCAGGTAGAACAACACCAAGTTCAATTCTTTTATGACATGAAATATCCAAGACAAACTCCAGCAAACTACAAAACTAAAGACAAAATACTGCTTTTCATAGTGGTCATATTAGCCATAGCATAATTCAGCTACCTCTCATGAGCCTTGCTATCCTGTTCTCACACCTCATCTCCAGTCAAAACCCACCATAGTCACTATTGTTCTTGGCATAGCTTTAGACGATACATCATCACATTGCACACTGTGTTACGATAAAAAATTAGTAGCTGTAAACAGTAGTTGCCCATATACATCATTCCCAGATACCACATACAGTTAGCACACCCGTTGTAATAACAAACATGCATTGCCAAGGATTCTAGTGTAGGATTCTCTATTTCAGGTTGTAATTTGGGGTTTTCCATCATATTGGTAGCCATGTAGCTAGAGATTGTAGGCTTGTTAGTGCTAGTACCCTGTAGCAGGTTACCAGCCAAACAGTCCACCTACACTCATCAGTGAGTTAACAGCAAGTGAATTCTTGTGTTCACAAATGAAGCTTCATGCTCAAGTTAGAATTTATTATTGTTATTATACAATTGATGTTCATTGCCATGCATATACACTATGTACATTTTCAGAGGTGCTGTGCTGCTAGATTTTTATTATTTATATATATATATATAATATATATATATTATATATACACACATACACATATATACATACAGTATATATATATATATATACAGTGGAACCTTGAGTGACGAGCACCTCAATTTACGAGCATTTTGAATGAGTGCGCAGATCGCCGACAATTTATCTCGATTGGCGAGCGCTCGTTTGAATAACGAGAAAACCACATGGTGCTTTCCCCCTGCTTCTCGTACATTCTCAGACGCCTCCGACGATGCAAATAATTTTTTTTTTTAAAGATGCTAATGATGCTGGGATGTAAAGGGGTGACTGCTGTGATGTTGCAAAGCATTTATGTTTTTTTGTAGAATAAAAAAAAAAAAAAAAATTTGAAAAAAAAGAACAAACGTCAAAAAAGTTTGTTTGGTGTTTGTCCAGGTAGGCTGCTCCAGGGAGGTGAAAAATAATGGAGGAATGAAGGACTAAGATCTGGAGCCAAAATTCACGAAGCAGTTACGCAAGAACTTACGAACATGTACATCTTTCCTCAATCTTTGACGGCGTTGGTTACATTTGGGCGATAGAAAAGTTTCGAAAAAGTTGTTCAATGTCAACCAATATTTTTGACTAGTTGTATATGAAAAGTGCTGAAATTGTCCCACGTTTCAGTACTGCAGCGTAAATAGAAAGGGAGATTCCCCCCCCCCCCCAATGTTTTTTACACATTTTCAAGTCGACACTTCAGAACACACATTTCAGATATAATTATTCTGTGACACTTTTCTGACACATTAGCATATAATAAAGAATTGTTTGTTAGATAATTTCCAAAAATCTTTAGTTTTCCTAATACAAATTTCCCCCCCAAAATTATGCAAATATGGCATGTTTATTGCTATTATAAAATCAATAAATGAACTTAGAGAAAAAAGCTCTCTAGCAAATGTAGAGACATGCCCTCCACATATACTGTGTAAGTTTCATGTAAATTGAATAAAAAATGAAACAGTTTTGTTAACGTTTATGTCAATTGAAAAAAAAAAGCAAATAATAAAGTCTAAGGTTCTAAAATCTGTGGCTGAGGTTGACATCAACAAATTTTCTCCAAAACTGGCATCCTTACAGATAGGCTTACGTGCAGTAAGGTGTGTAAGTTTTATGCAAATCGTCCAAAAAAAAAAAAAAAATCAATTTTTTTTAACTTAAATTTTTTTCCAATTAAATTAATTATAATATTTGTTTAATATATGCTATTGTGATAGCAAAGAGTCATAGCTATGATTTCAGTTGATACTTTTGTTTGATAATCGTTTTTGACCATTTTGGCATAATTTTCACACCTACTTCAATATTTTTTTTCTCCCTTCCTATTTATGCTACAATGCTGAAACTTGGACCAGATGAAACACTTCATATAGAACTTGTCAAAAAAGTTTGATTGAAATCGAACGAGTTTTCATTTATTGCATTTTTGGAACCAAACCCCCCCTTAAACAGTTTTGCAAGCATGAAAACTTCCCAATCAACTGTTGTTATTGTTATAAACAGCCTCCTGGTGCTTCAGAGCTCATTAACTGTTCAATAATTGTAAACAAAGCCGCCAAAGATTGATAAAAGATGTACAGGTTCGTAAGTACTTGCGTAACTGCTTTGTGACTGACCCTTGACATGCTGGGAATAGCCACAAGTGTGGAGAAAAATTTCCAGTCACTATCAAATCTCCACTATAGAAAGAGTGAGAGGGGGGGGGGGGGAGAAGAAGAAAATAAAACAAAAGGATAGAACAATTGGTCCCTTATGGAAGAAGAGCAGAGAGAAAGATCTATAGAGGAAAGAATGCAAGTGCAAAAGTAGATATGAGTAGACTCAAAGCAAGATATGTTTAAAAATGTTCCAGTCTGATTCACTGAGTAAAGAATCCTCAAGCCCCTTTTATTTTAATGCAAGTAGATGCTGCTAGTTAAATAAAGCAAGGCAAGTGGCTTTTTATGACCCTTTCTGATCATCCATAAATCAACCGATATATTTTTTGTTCTATTCCACTAGCACTCAATGTATAAATTATGATTCAGAATCAAACACACTTTGGAGTACTCTTTCGTTGAGGATGAACTCTGAAGCAGACCCAGTAACAGTCAAATTGCTGTAATCATTATTTTCAGCGAGTGCACATTTAACGGTTGAGCCACACAAAGGTGGACAAGGCATCACACCAACGGCTGGTCCTCATGTTTGGAACTCTGTTTGGTAACCCCAGTGTAAGTGATCCATCTCGAGTAATTTCCATACTGTTGTCATAATAGTATTCTGCAGGTGTTGCCATAAAACCAGATTTAACAGAATAAAACAAGGCTCCAGGAAATACCACATGCAACAGCATTCTATAAAGTATAATTTAGGACAATATGAAAGTTGATTACAATAAATGTTTAACCATTTTGTTTAAGTATTAAACATTGATAAACTCACTACCCCCTCCCCCTAAAAACATTAATAATTGCTTCCTAAACTGGTCTTCAAAGGGTACATAGCTTCAGGTACGGTACAGAATACTGAAGGTTTTTAACACTGCATTCTGGGAGTAGCACATGCTTTCTTTTTCTAAAGTAACTGGTCACAGTCGAGATGCTCATTCAGCAAAGTGTAACCTTTTACTAATTTCACATTTACAAAGCTATTTAAAATCCTAGAACAATGGTTCTTAATATCAAAATATTAGGAAATAAATGTTCTAAAGAACAGATAAGAAAAACACATGGGTTATACGAGGCTCTACCGAGTTCACAAAATTTTCTTCAAATTTAAACACTAACAAATCTTTTTCTACATGTAAATGCTTCAAGAACAAAAATTTGGAAAATTGTTATTCAATTTATGCATGAAGAAAAATGCAGTATCATAACTCACTTCATTAAAAAAAAAAAAAAAAAAATTATTACTGTATTCCAATATAGTAAAGACATGCGCTCGGTTTAAATTTTTATTTGACTACGGAACAGTACAGTAAATC